ACTTCCCATCCACACAGACCCTTACTTGTAACACTCACCTTGACACAGCCATCTGCCGAGGCAGTGGCGAAGCCTGTGTTATCAGGCAGGGCAGCCATGGCCCACACTGCTTTGTCGTGTGCTGCTTGAATCAAAGCAGTGCGCTCTGCACTGGCCACTGAGAAGACCTCCAAGTCTCCTGCTTGAGTACCTGCGATGGCCTGAGTGCAGGAGAGAAGAGAGGGAGTAAATCGAGGAAAGGGAGAGTCAAGCGATGGCTGGGGGAACGAGTGTCATGGCCCGCACACAGCCTCTTTGTGTACTGCCCGCACCAAAGAGTCTTCATTTGAGGTGCTTCGAACATTGGCTCTGTATTTGTTGCCCGCATGAGAGAGTCACAGCGCTGAGAGCAGCGAGAGATGGCTTTAGTGGGAAATGTTCTAAATCGTTTGGATGATTTGCGTAGGGGTTACGAGGCACAAATCCAAACGGTTCAAAGTCCCCACCCCAACCCTCTCCTCTCCTGCACCCAACCCTTCCCGTCCCCCCCTCCACCCCCACGCACCGAACCCAACCCCAACCCCACTCCTTCCACACACCTATACTATCCCCACCTCACTCACATATCTATCACCAGGGGCAAAGAGGCAGCATAGTCCATAGCCAGAGTCAAAGGAAGAGAGGCAGGCTCCAGTCACAGGGTTCCAGACCTGAAGGAGAGAGGGTGGGAAACGGGAGGGATGTGAGGAAGTGAGTGGGAGGGATGTGAGGTGGGCGAGCGGGAGGGAGGGGAATAGGCGCGATAAGCAGATGCGATGCGGCAAGGCGTGCTTCTAGTCTAGGCAGACAGGCTCCGGTCTGAGGGTTACACACAGGAAGGGGCGGAGAAGGGTAAAAAGATGGGTGGAAGTGAGAGTGCGAGGGAGAGGAGTGCGAGAGGAGAGTGGGGGTAGCGTGGGAGGCGCGCAAGAGGGAAAGTTTGCCACAAGAGGGGGACTGTGACATAAGAGAGCAAGAAGCGTTTCATCGCTGGGATATTGACAGAATGCCGCCCACCTTGGCGGAGCCTTTGGAAACGGACAAAAGAAGCGAGCCATCTGAGGAGAGTGCCAGCGAGCGCACGTCAGATCGGTGGCCGGCAGACTGCAGCGATGCCGCCCGGGTGCTGCTGTCCGCATGTATAGTGTGGATCTGAGAGAAGGGGAGGGATGGGCGGATGGAGAGGGGGAGAGTGCTTCTGAGTCGACTCCAAAGCTTGTCGATGGCCGGCAGACTGCAGCGCTGCCGCCCGGGTGCTGCTGTCGGCGTGAATCATGTGGATCTGGAAGGCAGGAGGGGGAAGAGAGGATTGAGAGGGTGAGGGAAAGACGGAGAGAGGGAGGGAGGGATAGAGGAATTGGTAAAGGGAACAGCATGGATTGGAAGGTGGACGAACAGAGAAGGGAGGGTTATGAAAGGGGGAGGGAGGGTTATGAAAGAGGCACATGATGCTCCCACTCACGACCCTCACCTTTTCTCTCCCCTTTTCCCTCGTCTCACCTCTGTTTCTCCCTCGTCTCACCTCTGTTTCTCCCTCGTCTCACCTCCCCATTCTTTCTCCTATAAGAGCCCCCCTTGTTCGCCCGCGTCACACTGTTATTGTGCAGAGCTAGCGCCAGTGACGGCTCTGCTGCTCACCCTCTTCTGCAGCACCTCACATCCCATAAGGACCCCCCCTCTCGGCACCTCACATCCCATAAGGACCCTCCCTCTCGGCACCTCGGCTCACCTCAACGCTGTTATTGTGTAGTGCCAGCGCCAGTGACGGCTCTGCTGCTCCTCTCCCCACTCCCCTCCCCCCTGCCCCGCCTGCCTTGGGCGCAAATGCAATGGCGCGCACTCGGTGCTTCAAACGAATGGTGAACATCGAAGCAAACTCGTCTGCACCCTCCACAGTCACCCCGGCTCCCCCCTTCTGCTCCCCATCCTCCTCCCATCCCCCCCCTTCCCCTCCTTCCCCTCCCCCCTCTTCCCCTCCTTCCCCTCCTCCCCCTCCTCCCTCCGCCGTTCCCTCCCCTGCCTCCTCACCCTCTCGCTCCCCCTCACCCCCCTTCCCCTTCCCCTTCTCCACCTGTCTCCGCCTCCGCCTCTTGGCCTGCCTAACCGCCTCACCAGGACTCCTCACTCGGAACAACTCAACGGCCTTTCCAGCACTCTGGCAGGCTAAGACTTTCCCTGGGCCGTCGAAACGCACACTTAAAGCCTGCTCTGCGCCCTGCCCCACTCCCACCACCCTCCTTATACTGCCGTGCGGTATAAGCACGTCCCATCGCCCTGCCACCCCCCCACCTCCTGCTCCCTTGCTTCCCATTCCTGCTCCACCTCCTTCCGCCCCCCCCGCAACCTCTCCCCCTTCCCCTTCCCCAGGTTCCCCCTCCCCCCGAACCAGCCCCCCCTCAGCTCCCTCCTCCCCCTCCCCCAACATCCCCCTCTCCGCCCTGATTTGGAAAACCAAAACCTCAGGTTCGGTGCCAGCAGCGACGAGCCTGGGCAGGTTCGGGTGGATGGCGAGCGTCCAAAGCTCGCCGCGAGGCTCGGCGATGGTTTGGATGCAGTGGTGGAGGGCGAGATCCCAGACCTTGATCTGCGCGTCCCTGCTACAACTGACCAATAGGGACTGGTGCTGTACCATAGAACCTTCCAGGAAGGTGAGATCAGTCACCTGGACAGTTTGAGGGCGGGGGATGGGGGAGGGGAGGGAGGTGGAAAAGGAGGGAAGGGAGGGGGTGTTAGGCTAGGGGTGTGGATGCAGTGGTGAAGGGCGAGGTCCCACACCTTGATCCGCGCGTCCATGCTACAGATTACCAGCAGCGACTGGAGCTGCACGCGGGAACCAGGAAGGTGAGGTCTGTAACCTGGACAATTTGCATGGCGGGGGATCGGGGGAGGGAGCGGGGTGAATGGGGGAGGAAAACGGGGGAGGGATGGCAGACCATGCGTGGATCCATCTTCCACACCTACATCCTCTCTTCACCCATAACCCCCAAGCGCGACACTTTGACTGGCCTCTGCTCTGCGTTCCATCCGTAGAAAGGTTTTCGAGGCGCCTCATAACCTACATCCTCCCAAACTGGAGAAACTACATTCAAACCCTCCAAAACCCTGAACCCTGAATCTTGCCTGGTCTCTGTGGCCCCTCAGTCGCACGAGCCCCACTTCACCCGCCACGTCCCACACCACGATGTCCGCGTCTCTGCCGCCCGACGCCAGCCGCGTTGTATCGCACCACCGCTACAGCCGACCTGTGGCCGGCAAGGCTTGTCCTACACGTCCCGTCCACCATGTTCCACACGCGCACCGTGCCGTCCGTGTACCCCGCCGCCACCTGCGTCGCGTCGGCCGGCGACGGGCAAATCGCCGTCACGTCCACTACAGCGGGGACCGCATCATGCACGCTGCCGGCTGCGCTGCCGGCCGCACCCGCGCCGCCCCCTTGGCTGTAGCCGGCGCCGGCCGGCTGTGGTGAAAGCTGCTGCAGCAGCGTGCCCTTTCGCATGTCCCATACGAGCAAGCGTTCGAGCGCGCCGGTAAGAATGGAGCGACCCGATTGGTCGAAACAGATGCTGCCGCAGGAAGGAGAGACTACGAGGCCGAATACCGCTTCCTGCTCGTAGCGCAAGTACGCTTTCACCATCGCGTCGCACTAATTTGACGCCCGCCTACTAAAGAAAGTGGGCAAGCTGCTGGGAAGGACCTCCTGGACAAAATTCGTGAGCTTTTGGATGAAGGTGGGCTTGTTCCCTCAGGTTTATTAGAATGCAAAACGATAAATGTAACGTGTGAAGATTGTCAGAGACGGGAGAATACATGTGAAGTGGAGATTAATCTACGCAGGTCCTTCCAGCCTCGTGGGTTGATGGGCATGAAATGCAGCCCTGACGCCCCTGCAAGCATTCCAATTGGGCAGCAGAGAGGCGGGGGAGTGGGATGGGAAAGCAAAGTGAGCATCAATCTACACAGGTCCCACAAACCGCAACCCTTTGTCTTCCCACCTTTGAGGGCCTTCACAAGGCCGAGCCAAGGTACTGCTTTTGAGAAATTTCAAAAGAAACTCACACAAGGAAGAGCCAGGGTACTGCCCCCTCCAGTGCTGGCGGACTGAAACAAGCATTGACCTCTAGGAACGCACACTTCGCAACGCACACTTCGCAACGCACACTTCGCAACGCACACTTCGCAACGCACACTTCGCAACGCATACTTCGCAACGCACACTTCGCAACGCACACATGAAACCAAGGTGACTTTTGAGTCAACTCAAAAGTCATCTAAGAATGCACACTTGGCAACGCACACGTGAAACCAGCTGGTACCTACCAACAACGGCAATCCCTGTGTCGGCACACCTCTCCCTTCTCGACCGAAGCCCCACCTTCCAGCGCTGGCGAAGCTGATTTGCTGGTTTCAGTCTGGTGTGAGGCGGCTTCGCAACCACTCTGCATACTACGCCCCACCTTTTAGATGCTTCACCTTCCTTCCCCACCTTAGAGCTGCTTTGCAAGTGTGAGGTACTGCTCCGTCCAGTGCTGGCGGAATGTCCTAAATCGCTCCACATCCACCTCGCCTGTCCCTGCCACCTGCTCCTCTGCCCGCCGGAACCTTGAACTTTTAGGCCACTTTCACAGCCATTAAGCAGACGTCCCACCTTTTAGTTGCTTGGCAAGTGTGAGGTACTGCTCCGTCCACTGCTGGCGGAATGTCCTAAATCGCTCCACATCCACCACACCTGTGCCTGCCACCTGCTCCTCTGCCTGCCGAAACCTGGCTATTTCAGTGTCGGCCTGCCCCCCCTTGGCGTCGGTGAGAAGCATCCAGAAGGCGAGGTTGCGCGCCGAAGTGATGAGCGGCATTCCGATAATCATTGGCACTGCTGTGGTGAGGCTGGGAGAGGGGAGGAGAGGAGTGACAGGCACATGGGTGTAAGAACCTCATCTGCCTGCTGGAACCTGGCTATTTCAGTGTCGGCCTCCCCCCCCTTGGCGTGGGTGAGGAGCATCCAGAAGGCGAGGTTCTGCGCCGAAGTGATGAGAGGCATGCCGATAATCATGGGGACTGCGGTGGTGAGGCTGGGGGAGGGGAGGGGCGAGGAACGAAGCAAGCAGATTGTAGCGTCAGCCTGCCCCCCCTTGGCATCGGTGAGAAGCATCCAGAAGGCCAGATTGCGCACCGAGGTGATTAGCGGCATGCCGATAATCATTGGCACTGCGGTGGTGAGCCTGGGAGGAGGTGTGGGGCCATGGGCGGAAAGTTGGGGGAGGAAAGGGAAGGGAATGAGTGAGAAGCATCTAGAAAGAGAAAAATTTGGGACTGATGGGAATTTACCTCTCCGCCTACCCCTCTCCCTCCCCACCCTCCCCTCCCCCAATTCCACTCTTTCCCTCGCCCTCTTGCACCCACCCTATGAATCTCTATCCCTTGCCTTCCGTCTCACCCTCTCTGTTCAGCCGCACACCACCATTGCTGAAAAGCTTCTGGCACCACTGGGGGCTGCAGAATTATCGCCTCTGCTCCTGCCTCCAGCTGCTTGGGGGAATTTGTGTGTGGGGGAAAGGGAGTTGGGGGGGATGAGATGGAGGGTGAAGTCGGAGGGGAACCAAACCACATCTACTCCACGTCATCTGCGCACATGACATGCCGAGTGCATCTGTCCACATGACATGCCGAGTGCATCTGTGCCCCATCCTATACACGCACCTGTGGGATGTGATCAGTCATACCTTTTCTGGGTCGACTCAAAACTAAACAGTCATACATACCTTCAGCCTTTGCGTGGTGCGTGCACCCACATCTCTTGAAATCACCATTACTGTTTCCACAGTTTGTGTGCGCGCCTCTTACCTTCTGCTCTAACCGATCAACGGAGCCCGTGAGTGGATTCTCCACAGCCCACAACTGAACACCTTGGGAGGGAGAGAATGACAAGGGAGGTACGGGTTATTGGAGGATGGAAGGGGAAGAAAAGGGTCACGAGAAAAGGGTGGTCTGAGAGCCGCAACACAACGCAGCCAGATGAATTCCAAGTTTCAAATTCAGCTTTTGAGGAGCCTCGGAAGTCATCTTGACGCTGTACAGGCGTTGTGGCACTGTGACGCGCCACACCACACTCACAGCACAGCACAGCACAGCACAGCACAATCTCTCCCGCTCCTCACCTCACCTCACAACTCACGTAAAGGGAAGAGTTTTTGAGGAGCCTCAAAACGCGCCACGCCACGCTCACAGCATAGAACTGTCAGAGGTCCACAGGTGATCCCCGATTGATCCTAGGGAAGGGTTACAGGCATGTTGGCCTGGGGGGTTATGGGCGCATTGACCCGCTACTTAACAAGCCTTTTTATTCAAATGGTCTAGTGGTTGGGATTCTGACATGGTATCAGAGCGAAGGTCTCGGGTTCGAATCCCAGTGTGTGCACTTCGGGCATCCCAGTGCGGGGGGGTGTCAGAGGTCCACTGGTGATCCCCGATTGATCCTAGGGAAGGGTTACAGGCATGTTGGCCTGGGGGGTTATGGGCGCACTGATCCGCTACTTAACAAGCCCTTTTATCCCAATGGTCTAGTGGTTGGGATTCTGACAAGAACAACCTCCGCCGCTCCTCACTACTCACGCAATGAATAACAACGCCACACTTACAGCGCGGAATTTGGCCAGCCGATCGGAGCCTATGAGCATCGCGCAACATGTGGAGCGAGGTGTCTTCAGAGTCGACTCAGAACTCACAATACACGCAATGAAAAACAACGCTGCACTTACAGCGCGGGATTTGCCCGGCTTCACGGAGCCTATGCGCGTCTCGCAGCATGTGGAGCGAGTTGGTGGGCATGAGTCGGTTGATGAACGGCCAGGAGCGCATCGGGTGGGCTGGGGGGAGGGATGAGGAGCAGTGTGAGGGAGTTGGAAGTTGGGGAGGGGCGGGCATGAGGCGGGTAGGGGGGCTGTGAGCGTCTCGCAGCACGTGGAGCGAGTTGGTGGGCATGAGTCGGCTCATGAGCGGCCAGGAGCGCATCGGGTGGGCTGGGGGAGGGATGAGGAGCAGTGGGAGAGTGACGGGATGGGGTAGAGTAAGCAACTGGAGTACGGGGCTGTTGACGCCAGGCCAAGAGCACATGAGGTGGGCTGGTTTGGTGGGGAGGGGAAAAAGGTGGTGGGGGGGGGGTAGTGAGCGGTGGGGTGTGATGTGCTGGGAGGAGAATGGAGGGATTGTATGGGGTGGGGATTGCAGCAGCAGCAGCAGCAGCGGTAACACGTACCTCCTGACAGCAGCAGAAGAGCACCTGGAGAGCTGCCCTCCCTGCCCCCTACCACCTGAACCGCCTTCTCCACCATCTGCTGCCTCACCGCCTCTGATGTTTTCACCTGAACCGCCACCGTCAGCACCTGGGCAACCGCCTGAGCCGCAACAGAGCTGCCTGGAGCCGCCAGAGTGGCTTGGCTACCCGTTGTGCTGCCCGTAACAGACGGGTTACCAGCACTGGCAGTTAAGGGAATCTCTTGACTTCGAGTTGATTCATCGAGAGAGCTTGCATTGAAAGTGAGGGAAGGGACAGGAGGATTGGTAAGGGACGAAGTAGGGTGGGAAACGGAGGAGGTAGGAGGGGGAGAGGAGGAGGAGGAGGGGAGTGGAAGCAGAGGGAGGGGCAGCTGCAAGAAATCTCTGAAGCCGGCCGGCGCAGGCAGGTCCGGAAGCACTGTGGCTCGGAACCTGCCCGAAGCTAGGACGTCCTTGGCCTGGGCCTGCCACGTTGCAAGGGAGAGGTGGCAATGATGACGAAACGGGCTTTAAATGGCAAATAGGCAGAGAAGAGGTGCAAATGGGCATCGTTACCGTTGCTGTGACCGTTACCTGTTACCTGTTTGCCTTCCGTCACTTCCAGCGTCAGAATAAACTGCTGGCCGTTAAACAAGCCGTCAGCGCCTGCTGCAGCGCGTGCTAGAGGCGCTCGAGCAGCCTTTTCTGGACCCTTGCTCTGCCCTGACGCCAGGAAACCACCAGCGGAAAACGAGCGCGCGGGAAGCGTAAACGCGGAATGGAACCTCCGTGTGTGGCGGAAGGATTGGGCCAATGCCATTCCGCTGGTCCTTGGCTGTCCGGCGGATGCTCCGCTATAGACTGTTCCGCTGCAATCCAGCCACAGCATTCTTCTAAGAGACAAAACCAGCTTTTTCAAAAAAAAAACTAGCTCTCAAAAGTCGCGTCTGTATTGTTGCACCTCTAACAGTGACATCAGACGAGTTTCCAGCGCTGACTTTTTAGGAACCTCTAACAGTGACATCAGACGAGTTTCCAGCGAAGACTTTTTAGGAACCTCTGACAGTGCAGTAACCTACTGGCGGATTTGCAATTTGCTGGTTTCAAATCGTGGCAACTTCAGCCTAATTGCAAATTCTCATGCCTGCCGCAACTTCTGCCCAAACTGCAAGTACATGAGGCAAGCTGAACAAACCCACATATTGCGTGCTTCGTTGTTGCACAACAAAATGGTCCAAGGAGCAAAATTGTACCCAAAATGCTTCTTTTCTGAGACAGGATCAAGCCTTACACCGTACCATTAAAACTTTTGGCGAATTGTGTTGGATTTCTTTTTTTTTGCAATAAAATTACTGCCCTAAACACCCCAGTAACGCTATCGAGTAAGGAAGTTCTGTGGTGGAACTACGGTGAAATTGAGGGTATTTACCAAGACAATGGTCCTTTTTTTTATAGCAAGTCACAATGAAGGCATGTCTAAACTCGTGGGTTAGCTGATAGGTCGAATTACAACCACTGGACACCTGTAAGGCAGAGGGATAGACAGAGGTGGGGAAGGAGGGGGGTAGAAAGTGGAAGAAGAGGGCGGTGGATGCCTAGGAGGAAAGGCTTGAGTAGGAGATCTGAGTGGTGGGACGAGGGAAGGAGAACGGGCACTGGAAGAAAACGAATGCAAGAGAGCGAAAGAAAGCAAGGAAAGGGGCGGGAGGGAGGATGGGGGGGAGAAGAAGGAAGTGCGGGTGATGGCTCCGCAAAAAGAGCAGAGGGCGGCCACAACACACCTTGTCAAGGAGGAGAGAAGGGGCAGATGCACACATACAGGCCAAGCACACAGATGGGGCAGATGCACACATACAGGCCAAGCACACAGAAGGGGCAGAAGGGGACGGACAGGGGCGGAAGAGCACACACAGAAAGGAAGGCACACACACAAGAGGCAGAAGGACTCACGGGGGGAGGGGAAGCACACACGGGGGGAGGGGAAGCACACACGGGGGGAGGGGAAGCACACACGGGGGGAGGGGAAGCATGGCACAAGCCCCACTGACCGAGCGTATTTGGAGCAGTAGTCGCTGACGGAGCCGAGGAAGCTTCTCTTGACGGGCCCGTGGCCATGGCTGCCAATGACCAGCATGCTCGCCTCGTTCTCCTCACACGCCTGGCAGATCGCCTCCCTGGCCTCGCCCTGATACACCTTCGTCACGCTCGTCACCTGACACCCACACAAACACAAATCCAGTACGTTTTGAGACGTCTCAAAAACGCCCGAAGCAACGCCTCAAACTTCTCCTCGCACGCCTGGCAGATCGCCTCCCTCGCCTCGCCTCTTTACACCTTCGTCACGCTCGTCACCTGACACCCACACAACACACGCTTGCTTTTTGTTAATATTCCGTCTTTCCTTCCAATCTCTGAACACTTGGGGTGGTCGTCTCCAATGCCAGAGTGGTCGTCACGCCAGCTCTGACAATAAAACGCCCCCAGCCCGTTTATAACCCACCCCATTCCGTTCATAACCCAGCCAGCACCACCCGTTTTGCAAGCAGCCCACCCTGTTAGAAAAGAGGCCTACCTGGTTCTCCTTGCAGATGGCCTCGGCCCTCTCGGCGACGCTCTTCGTCTCCTGCTCCTTGTCGTCCTCCACGCTCAGCTCGTTGTCCTCGGGAATCGCGAATGCTGGCGGAGGAAAAAACAGGAGAAAATAACACCAAGTGGAAGTAACACGCAATAACTTTTAAGACGTCTAGAATAGGGGAGAAAAGCGCCCGGCATGGAAGTAATGTGAGAACCAAGGCAACGCAAGGAACTGCGGGATAATGCGGAATAAAACAAAAGGTACGCCCGTTATGTACCTCCTGCGCTACTGGTAATGGGCGTCTCCACTGTGACGAGTATCGTCTTATCGGCGTCCTTTCGAATAATGTGGTCAAACGCCCTGCGGAAAAATGTGCAGGAAAAAAAGTATGCAGCCGGTGTGAGCGACCGACGTTTCCGGCACGTGGGCGTGCGCTAGGGGAGAAACCCGTTTGTGGCAGGAAGAAAGCGCGCAGCTCGTGAAAGCGGTTACAAGGCGTAGAGCAAAAAAGAAAATGAATAGTAATAATAAAAAGGCGGAAGTGGTAGGCAGCAGGCATACCACTGCAAGGCGTAGAAGCTTTGCTCGGACTCGTCAACTGCGACTACGATGTTGCGACCCGCGACCTCCGTTGTCATTGTTGAACGAGCACTGCGACAACCGCGGATGCAAAGCAATGCGCTAACACTAGCTCGAGGCCTAATTGACTTCTTAGTACGCGTTTAGAGAGGCAACCAGAGCACGTCCTTAAAGACGAACACTAGTTAGTAAACGCAAACCTCGCGACAATGTCTAGGAGGCAGCGGAAAAGGAAATACTAAGCGCCCAAGAGATCGCTGACTGGTCTTGCGGGATTGCTGATGAGTATGAGAAATTGCTGACAAGGACTAACAAAACAGGCTGACTCAATTTCTAGGTTCCAGTTCCTGGCAGTGGAATTGCACAGCATGCAGTTGGGCTGGTTGTCTAAGTATCAGTTACCCTTGAGAAGCTCTGCGAAGAAATCAGCAATTGCAGATAGTGCGAAATTTATCTGGCTATGTAACAGATTTCGTGATTCGCAAATAGGACACTGAATTGAAGACCCACCCCACACCTGCATCACCCCTCCCCAGTTTTGGATTTCGTACTTCGCGAAGCTCGCGAAAGGTATTGGGGTCAGCTCTGTTTTTAGCTGATATGGTATCTTAAGCAATGGGAGAAATGGCAGGAACACGTACAGTGTTTCAATCATGATAGTGCTTGATCACACACATCCCAGCTTGGCACACATCAAGAAGATAGATAGTTGAATGAGGTACCTTGTTTTTATGATTGCAATAATTATATTAAATATCTGGCTCCATCTCGCTACACCTTTCATCAGAGCTGTACTGATACTTCATACCTAGTCATTGTGAAGTGAGGATACGTGCGTCAGCGGCGGTTCAAGGGACAAATTTTGTCTGGCTTCATAATCCATTCCTCCCTCCATAGTTCCACCCCGCTGACACTGACCCTGGCTCGTCGTGGATATCTGAGCCTTGGGATTGTCGAAACCAGCCTTTCCAGCTGCCAGTCCTAGGTCGTCGTTAACTCTCCCGCGTGGAATGGCGAGAGTCGATCGCGCTGTTGTTTAACCTTTCTCCGGATTAGGCTAACGGGTCATCAGGCGAAGCGAAGCCCCCAGTCCCTGATGTGTCTCTGACACATCGCATTCGCCGGGAAACGTCAGATCACATCGCAACGGTTCGAAATCCCCGCGGCGGTCTTGATGGCGACATCGTATCCTGCTGTCTCGGCTCACTCGAGGCCCGCGTACCAACTACCTCTGGTCAAGCCTTATCAAAAACCCAAACCCGCCAGCGTCATTCTTCCTCCGATTTCTCGCTCTCAGCTGCTAGGGATCCGACTTCCAGTCTCTAGAATCTCGGTTCCTAGGGTTACAACCCGTTGTACGGTCCCCGATATAGTCACATCGTCGAGTAAACGCCCTGGTGTCTTGACTGGATTAAGAGGAAAGGCTGTTGGGCCAGTAGTTGCTGCGAGGTGCAGTCCGGTACCGCAGTGCGGCAACGGGGGTAAATGTGAGAGCAAGCAGCATAGGAGGGTCGTTCGGTCGTTAGCGTCGTCGTCTGATTCCGAGTCGTGGACGACGGTTGTCGGCGGAGCAAGCGACGGCGACGCAGCTAGTGCGACACGTGCGACAACTGCGACGGGTTCGGCGGCGAGCGGCGGCCAGGAGCAGGCATTGTCGCAGGATGGATCGCACGCGCAAGTGAAGGCGGAGGGAGCGACAGCGGGAGTGAATGGTCAGGTGGAGGGGTTTAGAGCGGTGGATGGAGGTTTGGAGGGGAGAGAGGAAGACGACGAGGAGGAATGGGAAGAGGAGGAGGATGAGGAGGAGGATGAGGAGGAGGGAGAGGAGGAGGAGGAGGAGGGATGGGAGGAGGAGGAGGAAGAAGAGGTGGAGGAGAGTGAGGAGGAGAGGAGGGAGAGGAGGCAGCAGTCAGAGCAGTGGCTGGTGAATTTCGACAAGCTCGGATCCACAGGTAAGCGTTGCAGTTCCCCGGGTGAGCTCGTCTCCATAGGTGTTCATTTCGTAGCGTGAGAAATGTGATGTGCATGTGCTCCAATCCCAAGGTTCAACGGTGTGTGGGAGGTGGTGGGGTAAGCTGGTGCTGAAACGTTCGGTTTTCGCCAGCGGGATGTATCGTCTTCATGGCGCATTCCCACACCTACTTACCGCTTCCCCCAGCTCTTCCCTCTCCAACCCCTCCCTCTTTCCCCCTCCCCCCCACCTCCCCCTCTCCCCTCTCCTCTCCCCTCCTTCCCCTGCTCTTCCTCCCTCTCATCCCCTTCCCCCTTCCCGCTTCCGCAGTGCCGGTATCCGCGCTGGACGCGCAGCAGCTGCGCCTGTTCTTCGCAGAGTCGCTGGCGCGCAGCAGCCGCGAGGGCGCGGGGGAGGAGGTGGAGGCGCGCATGGCGGAGATGCGCCGCCTGGGGCTCCGGGCGGGCGCGCGCGCGCACCATGCGGCCGTGGTCGTACACACGGCCAAGGGGGACCTCTTTGAAGCGGTAAGGGGGGAAGGGAGGACGGAGAAAAGGGGAAAAAACAAAAAAGCGAAAGGGCAGGGCGCAATACGCGGCCGTGGTAGCCACGGTCGGCGCTGCAGGTGCGTGTCCGTGCTGCGCCTGAGCATAAGCGCATCATCTTATCCCCCTCTGTCCCTCCCCCACTTTCCCCACCCTTCTGCAACTCCTCCCCCCCATCCTATCAGCGCCGCGCCCTGAGGCGCATGCTGAACAGTGGCATCTTTCACCTGTACAAGACGCTGTTGCCGTGCTGTGGCTGAGCGGAAGCACACTAACCGATCCCCTGCTGTCCTCTCTCCGCCACACCCCCCTTACCACCCAGGCAGCGTCGAGCCCGGAGGCACATGTTGAACAGCGGCGTGTTCCCTCTATACGAGACGCTGGTGTCGGTGATGCGGCTCAGTGGGCGGCAGAGAGGCCACATCTCCGTCTTCACCCCTCCCCCCCACTTCCTCTCTTGCCGTCCCCCTCTCCCCATCAGCGCCGTGCCCTGCGGCGCATGCTAAACAGCGGCGTGTCCCCCCTGTTCGAGACGCTGGTGGCGGTGCTGCTGCGGCTAAGAGGCAGGCAGAGAGGCACCGTGTTCCTCTTACTCCCTCCCCACCTTCCCCTCCCCTTTTCCCTCCCTTCCCCCACCCCGCTAACAGCGCCGCGCCCTGCGGCGGATGCTGAACAGAGGCGCTGGTGGCCGTGCTGCGGCTGAGTGGAAGCACACTAAGCGATTCTTCCCCCTTCCTTACCCTTTACCTCTGCAGCGCCGAGCCTTGCGCCGCATGCTGAACAGCGGCGTGTTCCCGCTGTATGAGACGCTGGTGGCGGTGTTGCAGCTGAGCGGCAGGCAGAGACCTCCTGTTCCCCCTCTTCCCCTTTCCCCCCCTTCCCCCGTACCCATCCTATCAGCGCCGCGCCCTGAGGCGCATGCTGAACAGTGGCGTGTTCCCGCTGTACGAGACGCTGGTGGCGGTGCTGCGGCTGAGCAGATGTGCACTGATTGATCCCCCCCCTTCCATCTCTCCGCTTCCCGCTCCCTCCCCACACACGTTCTTTCGCCCTTAACAGCGACGGGCCCTGCGGCGAATGCTGAACAGCGGCGTGTTCCCGCTGTACGAGACGCTGGTGGCGGTGCTGCGGCTGAGTGGGCGGAGGGGGCAGGTGGCGGAGGGGGAGGGCATCCTCGCGCTCATGGGGGAGCTGCAACTCAACCAGCGGGCGGCGTGGGTCGTCCTTATCGGTTAGTGACAAGGGCAGCGTGGTGGTGGGGGGGGGGATGGGCAGTACTTCGGTTCTGAGGGTTATAGCCCCCCGACAAGCGCCTTCCTTCTCGTTTCTTGCGCCCCTCCCCTGTCGGGGCGGACATGCGGACATGTCCACAGGGGCACCCACCTGTGCCTTTCCAGAGTAACTATTTGCATCGGGAGGGGCGGCCCACTTCCTCCCACATGTGCCTGCCCTCCCCTTCCCCTTCCACTCTTGAAAACGCCTCAACTTCTCACCCTTCGGCCCATGAATTCCCCCCTCCTCCCTTCCCCCCGCTCCTCCTTCCCCCGCCCATGCCCCTGCAGAGGAGTTATTCGCGTCGGGCAGTCACGCGGAGGGAAAAGCTCTTCTGTTGCGGGGGGTGGAGGACGGGATGTGGCCCACAGCAGGCCTGATAGACACCGTGGTGGAGAGCAGCTGCCGGGAGCGCCGCCTCTCTCCATCTCACATGCGTCTGCCCTCCCCTTTCCCTTCCACTCCCTGCAGAGGAGCTGTTCGCATCAGGCTCCCATGCTGAAGGGAAAGCTCTGCTGTTGCGGGGGGTGGAGGACGGGATGTGGCCCACAGCAGGCCTGATAGACACCGTGGTGGAGAGCAGCTGCCGGGAGCGCCGCCTCTCTCCATCTCACATGCGTCTGCCCTCCCCTTTCCCTTCCACTCCCTGCAGAGGAGCTGTTCGCATCAGGCTCCCATGCTGAAGGGAAAGCTCTGCTGTTGCGGGGGGTGGAGGACGGGATGTGGCCCACAGCAGGCCTGATAGACACCGTGGTGGAGAGCAGCTGCCGGGAGCGCCGCCTCTCTCCATCTCACATGCGTCTGCCCTCCCCTTTCCCTTCCACTCCCTGCAGAGGAGCTGTTCGCATCAGGCTCCCATGCTGAAGGGAAAGCTCTGCTGTTGCGGGGGGTGGAGGACGGGATGTGGCCCACAGCAGGCCTGATAGACACCGTGGTGGAGAGCAGCTGCCGGGAGCGCCGCCTCTCTCCATCTCACATGCGTCTGCCCTCCCCTTTCCCTTCCACTCCCAGCAGAGGAGCTGTTCGCATCAGGCTCCCATGCTGAAGGGAAAGCTCTGCTGTTGCGGGGGGTGGAGGACGGGATGTGGCCCACAGCAGGCCTGATAGACACCGTGGTGGAGAGCAGCTGCCGGGAGCGCCGCCTCTCTCCATCTCACATGCGTCTGCCCTCCCCTTTCCCTTCCACTCCCTGCAGAGGAGCTGTTCGCATCAGGCTCCCATGCTGAAGGGAAAGCTCTGCTGTTGCGGGGGGTGGAGGACGGGATGTGGCCCACAGCAGGCCTGATAGACACCGTGGTGGAGAGCAGCTGCCGGGAGCGCCGCCTCTCTCCATCTCACATGCGTCTGCCCTCCCCTTTCCCTTCCACTCCCTGCAGAGGAGCTGTTCGCATCAGGCTCCCATGCTGAAGGGAAAGCTCTGCTGTTGCGGGGGGTGGAGGACGGGATGTGGCCCACAGCAGGCCTGATAGACACCGTGGTGGAGAGCAGCTGCCGGGAGCGCCGCCTCTCTCCATCTCACATGCGTCTGCCCTCCCCTTTCCCTTCCACTCCCTGCAGAGGAGCTGTTCGCATCAGGCTCCCATGCTGAAGGGAAAGCTCTGCTGTTGCGGGGGGTGGAGGACGGGATGTGGCCCACAGCAGGCCTGATAGACACCGTGGTGGAGAGCAGCTGCCGGGAGCGCCGCCTCTCTCCATCTCACATGCGTCTGCCCTCCCCTTTCCCTTCCACTCCCTGCAGAGGAGCTGTTCGCATCAGGCTCCCATGCTGAAGGGAAAGCTCTGCTGTTGCGGGGGGTGGAGGACGGGATGTGGCCCACAGCAGGCCTGATAGACACCGTGGTGGAGAGCAGCTGCCGGGAGCGCCGCCTCTCTCCATCTCACATGCGTCTGCCCTCCCCTTTCCCTTCCACTCCCTGCAGAGGAGCTGTTCGCATCAGGCTCCCATGCTGAAGGGAAAGCTCTGCTGTTGCGGGGGGTGGAGGACGGGATGTGGCCCACAGCAGGCCTGATAGACACCGTGGTGGAGAGCAGCTGCCGGGAGCGCCGCCTCTCTCCATCTCACATGCGTCTGCCCTCCCCTTTCCCTTCCACTCCCTGCAGAGGAGCTGTTCGCATCAGGCTCCCATGCTGAAGGGAAAGCTCTGCTGTTGCGGGGGGTGGAGGACGGGATGTGGCCCACAGCAGGCCTGATAGACACCGTGGTGGAGAGCAGCTGCCGGGAGCGCCGCCTCTCTCCATCTCACATGCGTCTGCCCTCCCCTTTCCCTTCCACTCCCTGCAGAGGAGCTGTTCGCATCAGGCTCCCATGCTGAAGGGAAAGCTCTGCTGTTGCGGGGGGTGGAGGACGGGATGTGGCCCACAGCAGGCCTGATAGACACCGTGGTGGAGAGCAGCTGCCGGGAGCGCCGCCTCTCTCCATCTCACATGCGTCTGCCCTCCCCTTTCCCTTCCACTCCCTGCAGAGGAGCTGTTCGCATCAGGCTCCCATGCTGAAGGGAAAGCTCTGCTGTTGCGGGGGGTGGAGGACGGGATGTGGCCCACAGCAGGCCTGATAGACACCGTGGTGGAGAGCAGCTGCCGGGAGCGCCGCCTCTCTCCATCTCACATGCGTCTGCCCTCCCCTTTCCCTTCCACTCCCTGCAGAGGAGCTGTTCGCATCAGGCTCCCATGCTGAAGGGAAAGCTCTGCTGTTGCGGGGGGTGGAGGACGGGATGTGGCCCACAGCAGGCCTGATAGACACCGTGGTGGAGAGCAGCTGCCGGGAGCGCCGCCTCTCTCCATCTCACATGCGTCTGCCCTCCCCTTTCCCTTCCACTCCCTGCAGAGGAGCTGTTCGCATCAGGCTCCCATGCTGAAGGGAAAGCTCTGCTGTTGCGGGGGGTGGAGGACGGGATGTGGCCCACAGCAGGCCTGATAGACACCGTGGTGGAGAGCAGCTGCCGGGAGCGCCGCCTCTCTCCATCTCACATGCGTCTGCCCTCCCCTTTCCCTTCCACTCCCTGCAGAGGAGCTGTTCGCATCAGGCTCCCATGCTGAAGGGAAAGCTCTGCTGTTGCGGGGGGTGGAGGACGGGATGTGGCCCACAGCAGGCCTGATAGACACCGTGGTGGAGAGCAGCTGCCGGGAGCGCCGCCTCTCTCCATCTCACATGCGTCTGCCCTCCCCTTTCCCTTCCACTCCCTGCAGAGGAGCTGTTCGCATCAGGCTCCCATGCTGAAGGGAAAGCTCTGCTGTTGCGGGGGGTGGAGGACGGGATGTGGCCCACAGCAGGCCTGATAGACACCGTGGTGGAGAGCAGCTGCCGGGAGCGCCGCCTCTCTCCATCTCACATGCGTCTGCCCTCCCCTTTCCCTTCCACTCCCTGCAGAGGAGCTGTTCGCATCAGGCTCCCATGCTGAAGGGAAAGCTCTGCTGTTGCGGGGGGTGGAGGACGGGATGTGGCCCACAGCAGGCCTGATAGACACCGTGGTGGAGAGCAGCTGCCGGGAGCGCCGCCTCTCTCCATCTCACATGCGTCTGCCCTCCCCTTTCCCTTCCACTCCCTGCAGAGGAGCTGTTCGCATCAGGCTCCCATGCTGAAGGGAAAGCTCTGCTGTTGCGGGGGGTGGAGGACGGGATGTGGCCCACAGCAGGCCTGATAGACACCGTGGTGGAGAGCAGCTGCCGGGAGCGCCGCCTCTCTCCATCTCACATGCGTCTGCCCTCCCCTTTCCCTTCCACTCCCTGCAGAGGAGCTGTTCGCATCAGGCTCCCATGCTGAAGGGAAAGCTCTGCTGTTGCGGGGGGTGGAGGACGGGATGTGGCCCACAGCAGGCCTGATAGACACCGTGGTGGAGAGCAGCTGCCGGGAGCGCCGCCTCTCTCCATCTCACATGCGTCTGCCCTCCCCTTTCCCTTCCACTCCCTGCAGAGGAGCTGTTCGCATCAGGCTCCCATGCTGAAGGGAAAGCTCTGCTGTTGCGGGGGGTGGAGGACGGGATGTGGCCCACAGCAGGCCTGATAGACACCGTGGTGGAGAGCAGCTGCCGGGAGCGCCGCCTCTCTCCATCTCACATGCGTCTGCCCTCCCCTTTCCCTTCCACTCCCTGCAGAGGAGCTGTTCGCATCAGGCTCCCATGCTGAAGGGAAAGCTCTGCTGTTGCGGGGGGTGGAGGACGGGATGTGGCCCACAGCAGGCCTGATAGACACCGTGGTGGAGAGCAGCTGCCGGGAGCGCCGCCTCTCTCCATCTCACATGCGTCTGCCCTCCCCTTTCCCTTCCACTCCCTGCAGAGGAGCTGTTCGCATCAGGCTCCCATGCTGAAGGGAAAGCTCTGCTGTTGCGGGGGGTGGAGGACGGGATGTGGCCCACAGCAGGCCTGATAGACACCGTGGTGGAGAGCAGCTGCCGGGAGCGCCGCCTCTCTCCATCTCACATGCGTCTGCCCTCCCCTTTCCCTTCCACTCCCTGCAGAGGAGCTGTTCGCATCAGGCTCCCATGCTGAAGGGAAAGCTCTGCTGTTGCGGGGGGTGGAGGACGGGATGTGGCCCACAGCAGGCCTGATAGACACCGTGGTGGAGAGCAGCTGCCGGGAGCGCCGCCTCTCTCCATCTCACATGCGTCTGCCCTCCCCTTTCCCTTCCACTCCCTGCAGAGGAGCTGTTCGCATCAGGCTCCCATGCTGAAGGGAAAGCTCTGCTGTTGCGGGGGGTGGAGGACGGGATGTGGCCCACAGCAGGCCTGATAGACACCGTGGTGGAGAGCAGCTGCCGGGAGCGCCGCCTCTCTCCATCTCACATGCGTCTGCCCTCCCCTTTCCCTTCCACTCCCTGCAGAGGAGCTGTTCGCATCAGGCTCCCATGCTGAAGGGAAAGCTCTGCTGTTGCGGGGGGTGGAGGACGGGATGTGGCCCACAGCAGGCCTGATAGACACCGTGGTGGAGAGCAGCTGCCGGGAGCGCCGCCTCTCTCCATCTCACATGCGTCTGCCCTCCCCTTTCCCTTCCACTCCCTGCAGAGGAGCTGTTCGCATCAGGCTCCCATGCTGAAGGGAAAGCTCTGCTGTTGCGGGGGGTGGAGGACGGGATGTGGCCCACAGCAGGCCTGATAGACACCGTGGTGGAGAGCAGCTGCCGGGAGCGCCGCCTCTCTCCATCTCACATGCGTCTGCCCTCCCCTTTCCCTTCCACTCCCTGCAGAGGAGCTGTTCGCATCAGGCTCCCATGCTGAAGGGAAAGCTCTGCTGTTGCGGGGGGTGGAGGACGGGATGTGGCCCACAGCAGGCCTGATAGACACCGTGGTGGAGAGCAGCTGCCGGGAGCGCCGCCTCTCTCCATCTCACATGCGTCTGCCCTCCCCTTTCCCTTCCACTCCCTGCAGAGGAGCTGTTCGCATCAGGCTCCCATGCTGAAGGGAAAGCTCTGCTGTTGCGGGGGGTGGAGGACGGGATGTGGCCCACAGCAGGCCTGATAGACACCGTGGTGGAGAGCAGCTGCCGGGAGCGCCGCCTCTCTCCATCTCACATGCGTCTGCCCTCCCCTTTCCCTTCCACTCCCTGCAGAGGAGCTGTTCGCATCAGGCTCCCATGCTGAAGGGAAAGCTCTGCTGTTGCGGGGGGTGGAGGACGGGATGTGGCCCACAGCAGGCCTGATAGACACCGTGGTGGAGAGCAGCTGCCGGGAGCGCCGCCTCTCTCCATCTCACATGCGTCTGCCCTCCCCTTTCCCTTCCACTCCCTGCAGAGGAGCTGTTCGCATCAGGCTCCCATGCTGAAGGGAAAGCTCTGCTGTTGCGGGGGGTGGAGGACGGGATGTGGCCCACAGCAGGCCTGATAGACACCGTGGTGGAGAGCAGCTGCCGGGAGCGCCGCCTCTCTCCATCTCACATGCGTCTGCCCTCCCCTTTCCCTTCCACTCCCTGCAGAGGAGCTGTTCGCATCAGGCTCCCATGCTGAAGGGAAAGCTCTGCTGTTGCGGGGGGTGGAGGACGGGATGTGGCCCACAGCAGGCCTGATAGACACCGTGGTGGAGAGCAGCTGCCGGGAGCGCCGCCTCTCTCCATCTCACATGCGTCTGCCCTCCCCTTTCCCTTCCACTCCCTGCAGAGGAGCTGTTCGCATCAGGCTCCCATGCTGAAGGGAAAGCTCTGCTGTTGCGGGGGGTGGAGGACGGGATGTGGCCCACAGCAGGCCTGATAGACACCGTGGTGGAGAGCAGCTGCCGGGAGCGCCGCCTCTCTCCATCTCACATGCGTCTGCCCTCCCCTTTCCCTTCCACTCCCTGCAGAGGAGCTGTTCGCATCAGGCTCCCATGCTGAAGGGAAAGCTCTGCTGTTGCGGGGGGTGGAGGACGGGATGTGGCCCACAGCAGGCCTGATAGACACCGTGGTGGAGAGCAGCTGCCGGGAGCGCCGCCTCTCTCCATCTCACATGCGTCTGCCCTCCCCTTTCCCTTCCACTCCCTGCAGAGGAGCTGTTCGCATCAGGCTCCCATGCTGAAGGGAAAGCTCTGCTGTTGCGGGGGGTGGAGGACGGGATGTGGCCCACAGCAGGCCTGATAGACACCGTGGTGGAGAGCAGCTGCCGGGAGCGCCGCCTCTCTCCATCTCACATGCGTCTGCCCTCCCCTTTCCCTTCCACTCCCTGCAGAGGAGCTGTTCGCATCAGGCTCCCATGCTGAAGGGAAAGCTCTGCTGTTGCGGGGGGTGGAGGACGGGATGTGGCCCACAGCAGGCCTGATAGACACCGTGGTGGAGAGCAGCTGCCGGGAGCGCCGCCTCTCTCCATCTCACATGCGTCTGCCCTCCCCTTTCCCTTCCACTCCCTGCAGAGGAGCTGTTCGCATCAGGCTCCCATGCTGAAGGGAAAGCTCTGCTGTTGCGGGGGGTGGAGGACGGGATGTGGCCCACAGCAGGCCTGATAGACACCGTGGTGGAGAGCAGCTGCCGGGAGCGCCGCCTCTCTCCATCTCACATGCGTCTGCCCTCCCCTTTCCCTTCCACTCCCTGCAGAGGAGCTGTTCGCATCAGGCTCCCATGCTGAAGGGAAAGCTCTGCTGTTGCGGGGGGTGGAGGACGGGATGTGGCCCACAGCAGGCCTGATAGACACCGTGGTGGAGAGCAGCTGCCGGGAGCGCCGCCTCTCTCCATCTCACATGCGTCTGCCCTCCCCTTTCCCTTCCACTCCCTGCAGAGGAGCTGTTCGCATCAGGCTCCCATGCTGAAGGGAAAGCTCTGCTGTTGCGGGGGGTGGAGGACGGGATGTGGCCCACAGCAGGCCTGATAGACACCGTGGTGGAGAGCAGCTGCCGGGAGCGCCGCCTCTCTCCATCTCACATGCGTCTGCCCTCCCCTTTCCCTTCCACTCCCTGCAGAGGAGCTGTTCGCATCAGGCTCCCATGCTGAAGGGAAAGCTCTGCTGTTGCGGGGGGTGGAGGACGGGATGTGGCCCACAGCAGGCCTGATAGACACCGTGGTGGAGAGCAGCTGCCGGGAGCGCCGCCTCTCTCCATCTCACATGCGTCTGCCCTCCCCTTTCCCTTCCACTCCCTGCAGAGGAGCTGTTCGCATCAGGCTCCCATGCTGAAGGGAAAGCTCTGCTGTTGCGGGGGGTGGAGGACGGGATGTGGCCCACAGCAGGCCTGATAGACACCGTGGTGGAGAGCAGCTGCCGGGAGCGCCGCCTCTCTCCATCTCACATGCGTCTGCCCTCCCCTTTCCCTTCCACTCCCTGCAGAGGAGCTGTTCGCATCAGGCTCCCATGCTGAAGGGAAAGCTCTGCTGTTGCGGGGGGTGGAGGACGGGATGTGGCCCACAGCAGGCCTGATAGACACCGTGGTGGAGAGCAGCTGCCGGGAGCGCCGCCTCTCTCCATCTCACATGCGTCTGCCCTCCCCTTTCCCTTCCACTCCCTGCAGAGGAGCTGTTCGCATCAGGCTCCCATGCTGAAGGGAAAGCTCTGCTGTTGCGGGGGGTGGAGGACGGGATGTGGCCCACAGCAGGCCTGATAGACACCGTGGTGGAGAGCAGCTGCCGGGAGCGCCGCCTCTCTCCATCTCACATGCGTCTGCCCTCCCCTTTCCCTTCCACTCCCTGCAGAGGAGCTGTTCGCATCAGGCTCCCATGCTGAAGGGAAAGCTCTGCTGTTGCGGGGGGTGGAGGACGGGATGTGGCCCACAGCAGGCCTGATAGACACCGTGGTGGAGAGCAGCTGCCGGGAGCGCCGCCTCTCTCCATCTCACATGCGTCTGCCCTCCCCTTTCCCTTCCACTCCCTGCAGAGGAGCTGTTCGCATCAGGCTCCCATGCTGAAGGGAAAGCTCTGCTGTTGCGGGGGGTGGAGGACGGGATGTGGCCCACAGCAGGCCTGATAGACACCGTGGTGGAGAGCAGCTGCCGGGAGCGCCGCCTCTCTCCATCTCACATGCGTCTGCCCTCCCCTTTCCCTTCCACTCCCTGCAGAGGAGCTGTTCGCATCAGGCTCCCATGCTGAAGGGAAAGCTCTGCTGTTGCGGGGGGTGGAGGACGGGATGTGGCCCACAGCAGGCCTGATAGACACCGTGGTGGAGAGCAGCTGCCGGGAGCGCCGCCTCTCTCCATCTCACATGCGTCTGCCCTCCCCTTTCCCTTCCACTCCCTGCAGAGGAGCTGTTCGCATCAGGCTCCCATGCTGAAGGGAAAGCTCTGCTGTTGCGGGGGGTGGAGGACGGGATGTGGCCCACAGCAGGCCTGATAGACACCGTGGTGGAGAGCAGCTGCCGGGAGCGCCGCCTCTCTCCATCTCACATGCGTCTGCCCTCCCCTTTCCCTTCCACTCCCTGCAGAGGAGCTGTTCGCATCAGGCTCCCATGCTGAAGGGAAAGCTCTGCTGTTGCGGGGGGTGGAGGACGGGATGTGGCCCACAGCAGGCCTGATAGACACCGTGGTGGAGAGCAGCTGCCGGGAGCGCCGCCTCTCTCCATCTCACATGCGTCTGCCCTCCCCTTTCCCTTCCACTCCCTGCAGAGGAGCTGTTCGCATCAGGCTCCCATGCTGAAGGGAAAGCTCTGCTGTTGCGGGGGGTGGAGGACGGGATGTGGCCCACAGCAGGCCTGATAGACACCGTGGTGGAGAGCAGCTGCCGGGAGCGCCGCCTCTCTCCATCTCACATGCGTCTGCCCTCCCCTTTCCCTTCCACTCCCTGCAGAGGAGCTGTTCGCATCAGGCTCCCATGCTGAAGGGAAAGCTCTGCTGTTGCGGGGGGTGGAGGACGGGATGTGGCCCACAGCAGGCCTGATAGACACCGTGGTGGAGAGCAGCTGCCGGGAGCGCCGCCTCTCTCCATCTCACATGCGTCTGCCCTCCCCTTTCCCTTCCACTCCCTGCAGAGGAGCTGTTCGCATCAGGCTCCCATGCTGAAGGGAAAGCTCTGCTGTTGCGGGGGGTGGAGGACGGGATGTGGCCCACAGCAGGCCTGATAGACACCGTGGTGGAGAGCAGCTGCCGGGAGCGCCGCCTCTCTCCATCTCACATGCGTCTGCCCTCCCCTTTCCCTTCCACTCCCTGCAGAGGAGCTGTTCGCATCAGGCTCCCATGCTGAAGGGAAAGCTCTGCTGTTGCGGGGGGTGGAGGACGGGATGTGGCCCACAGCAGGCCTGATAGACACCGTGGTGGAGAGCAGCTGCCGGGAGCGCCGCCTCTCTCCATCTCACATGCGTCTGCCCTCCCCTTTCCCTTCCACTCCCTGCAGAGGAGCTGTTCGCATCAGGCTCCCATGCTGAAGGGAAAGCTCTGCTGTTGCGGGGGGTGGAGGACGGGATGTGGCCCACAGCAGGCCTGATAGACACCGTGGTGGAGAGCAGCTGCCGGGAGCGCCGCCTCTCTCCATCTCACATGCGTCTGCCCTCCCCTTTCCCTTCCACTCCCTGCAGAGGAGCTGTTCGCATCAGGCTCCCATGCTGAAGGGAAAGCTCTGCTGTTGCGGGGGGTGGAGGACGGGATGTGGCCCACAGCAGGCCTGATAGACACCGTGGTGGAGAGCAGCTGCCGGGAGCGCCGCCTCTCTCCATCTCACATGCGTCTGCCCTCCCCTTTCCCTTCCACTCCCTGCAGAGGAGCTGTTCGCATCAGGCTCCCATGCTGAAGGGAAAGCTCTGCTGTTGCGGGGGGTGGAGGACGGGATGTGGCCCACAGCAGGCCTGATAGACACCGTGGTGGAGAGCAGCTGCCGGGAGCGCCGCCTCTCTCCATCTCACATGCGTCTGCCCTCCCCTTTCCCTTCCACTCCCTGCAGAGGAGCTGTTCGCATCAGGCTCCCATGCTGAAGGGAAAGCTCTGCTGTTGCGGGGGGTGGAGGACGGGATGTGGCCCACAGCAGGCCTGATAGACACCGTGGTGGAGAGCAGCTGCCGGGAGCGCCGCCTCTCTCCATCTCACATGCGTCTGCCCTCCCCTTTCCCTTCCACTCCCTGCAGAGGAGCTGTTCGCATCAGGCTCCCATGCTGAAGGGAAAGCTCTGCTGTTGCGGGGGGTGGAGGACGGGATGTGGCCCACAGCAGGCCTGATAGACACCGTGGTGGAGAGCAGCTGCCGGGAGCGCCGCCTCTCTCCATCTCACATGCGTCTGCCCTCCCCTTTCCCTTCCACTCCCTGCAGAGGAGCTGTTCGCATCAGGCTCCCATGCTGAAGGGAAAGCTCTGCTGTTGCGGGGGGTGGAGGACGGGATGTGGCCCACAGCAGGCCTGATAGACACCGTGGTGGAGAGCAGCTGCCGGGAGCGCCGCCTCTCTCCATCTCACATGCGTCTGCCCTCCCCTTTCCCTTCCACTCCCTGCAGAGGAGCTGTTCGCATCAGGCTCCCATGCTGAAGGGAAAGCTCTGCTGTTGCGGGGGGTGGAGGACGGGATGTGGCCCACAGCAGGCCTGATAGACACCGTGGTGGAGAGCAGCTGCCGGGAGCGCCGCCTCTCTCCATCTCACATGCGTCTGCCCTCCCCTTTCCCTTCCACTCCCTGCAGAGGAGCTGTTCGCATCAGGCTCCCATGCTGAAGGGAAAGCTCTGCTGTTGCGGGGGGTGGAGGACGGGATGTGGCCCACAGCAGGCCTGATAGACACCGTGGTGGAGAGCAGCTGCCGGGAGCGCCGCCTCTCTCCATCTCACATGCGTCTGCCCTCCCCTTTCCCTTCCACTCCCTGCAGAGGAGCTGTTCGCATCAGGCTCCCATGCTGAAGGGAAAGCTCTGCTGTTGCGGGGGGTGGAGGACGGGATGTGGCCCACAGCAGGCCTGATAGACACCGTGGTGGAGAGCAGCTGCCGGGAGCGCCGCCTCTCTCCATCTCACATGCGTCTGCCCTCCCCTTTCCCTTCCACTCCCTGCAGAGGAGCTGTTCGCATCAGGCTCCCATGCTGAAGGGAAAGCTCTGCTGTTGCGGGGGGTGGAGGACGGGATGTGGCCCACAGCAGGCCTGATAGACACCGTGGTGGAGAGCAGCTGCCGGGAGCGCCGCCTCTCTCCATCTCACATGCGTCTGCCCTCCCCTTTCCCTTCCACTCCCTGCAGAGGAGCTGTTCGCATCAGGCTCCCATGCTGAAGGGAAAGCTCTGCTGTTGCGGGGGGTGGAGGACGGGATGTGGCCCACAGCAGGCCTGATAGACACCGTGGTGGAGAGCAGCTGCCGGGAGCGCCGCCTCTCTCCATCTCACATGCGTCTGCCCTCCCCTTTCCCTTCCACTCCCTGCAGAGGAGCTGTTCGCATCAGGCTCCCATGCTGAAGGGAAAGCTCTGCTGTTGCGGGGGGTGGAGGACGGGATGTGGCCCACAGCAGGCCTGATAGACACCGTGGTGGAGAGCAGCTGCCGGGAGCGCCGCCTCTCTCCATCTCACATGCGTCTGCCCTCCCCTTTCCCTTCCACTCCCTGCAGAGGAGCTGTTCGCATCAGGCTCCCATGCTGAAGGGAAAGCTCTGCTGTTGCGGGGGGTGGAGGACGGGATGTGGCCCACAGCAGGCCTGATAGACACCGTGGTGGAGAGCAGCTGCCGGGAGCGCCGCCTCTCTCCATCTCACATGCGTCTGCCCTCCCCTTTCCCTTCCACTCCCTGCAGAGGAGCTGTTCGCATCAGGCTCCCATGCTGAAGGGAAAGCTCTGCTGTTGCGGGGGGTGGAGGACGGGATGTGGCCCACAGCAGGCCTGATAGACACCGTGGTGGAGAGCAGCTGCCGGGAGCGCCGCCTCTCTCCATCTCACATGCGTCTGCCCTCCCCTTTCCCTTCCACTCCCTGCAGAGGAGCTGTTCGCATCAGGCTCCCATGCTGAAGGGAAAGCTCTGCTGTTGCGGGGGGTGGAGGACGGGATGTGGCCCACAGCAGGCCTGATAGACACCGTGGTGGAGAGCAGCTGCCGGGAGCGCCGCCTCTCTCCATCTCACATGCGTCTGCCCTCCCCTTTCCCTTCCACTCCCTGCAGAGGAGCTGTTCGCATCAGGCTCCCATGCTGAAGGGAAAGCTCTGCTGTTGCGGGGGGTGGAGGACGGGATGTGGCCCACAGCAGGCCTGATAGACACCGTGGTGGAGAGCAGCTGCCGGGAGCGCCGCCTCTCTCCATCTCACATGCGTCTGCCCTCCCCTTTCCCTTCCACTCCCTGCAGAGGAGCTGTTCGCATCAGGCTCCCATGCTGAAGGGAAAGCTCTGCTGTTGCGGGGGGTGGAGGACGGGATGTGGCCCACAGCAGGCCTGATAGACACCGTGGTGGAGAGCAGCTGCCGGGAGCGCCGCCTCTCTCCATCTCACATGCGTCTGCCCTCCCCTTTCCCTTCCACTCCCTGCAGAGGAGCTGTTCGCATCAGGCTCCCATGCTGAAGGGAAAGCTCTGCTGTTGCGGGGGGTGGAGGACGGGATGTGGCCCACAGCAGGCCTGATAGACACCGTGGTGGAGAGCAGCTGCCGGGAGCGCCGCCTCTCTCCATCTCACATGCGTCTGCCCTCCCCTTTCCCTTCCACTCCCTGCAGAGGAGCTGTTCGCATCAGGCTCCCATGCTGAAGGGAAAGCTCTGCTGTTGCGGGGGGTGGAGGACGGGATGTGGCCCACAGCAGGCCTGATAGACACCGTGGTGGAGAGCAGCTGCCGGGAGCGCCGCCTCTCTCCATCTCACATGCGTCTGCCCTCCCCTTTCCCTTCCACTCCCTGCAGAGGAGCTGTTCGCATCAGGCTCCCATGCTGAAGGGAAAGCTCTGCTGTTGCGGGGGGTGGAGGACGGGATGTGGCCCACAGCAGGCCTGATAGACACCGTGGTGGAGAGCAGCTGCCGGGAGCGCCGCCTCTCTCCATCTCACATGCGTCTGCCCTCCCCTTTCCCTTCCACTCCCTGCAGAGGAGCTGTTCGCATCAGGCTCCCATGCTGAAGGGAAAGCTCTGCTGTTGCGGGGGGTGGAGGACGGGATGTGGCCCACAGCAGGCCTGATAGACACCGTGGTGGAGAGCAGCTGCCGGGAGCGCCGCCTCTCTCCATCTCACATGCGTCTGCCCTCCCCTTTCCCTTCCACTCCCTGCAGAGGAGCTGTTCGCATCAGGCTCCCATGCTGAAGGGAAAGCTCTGCTGTTGCGGGGGGTGGAGGACGGGATGTGGCCCACAGCAGGCCTGATAGACACCGTGGTGGAGAGCAGCTGCCGGGAGCGCCGCCTCTCTCCATCTCACATGCGTCTGCCCTCCCCTTTCCCTTCCACTCCCTGCAGAGGAGCTGTTCGCATCAGGCTCCCATGCTGAAGGGAAAGCTCTGCTGTTGCGGGGGGTGGAGGACGGGATGTGGCCCACAGCAGGCCTGATAGACACCGTGGTGGAGAGCAGCTGCCGGGAGCGCCGCCTCTCTCCATCTCACATGCGTCTGCCCTCCCCTTTCCCTTCCACTCCCTGCAGAGGAGCTGTTCGCATCAGGCTCCCATGCTGAAGGGAAAGCTCTGCTGTTGCGGGGGGTGGAGGACGGGATGTGGCCCACAGCAGGCCTGATAGACACCGTGGTGGAGAGCAGCTGCCGGGAGCGCCGCCTCTCTCCATCTCACATGCGTCTGCCCTCCCCTTTCCCTTCCACTCCCTGCAGAGGAGCTGTTCGCATCAGGCTCCCATGCTGAAGGGAAAGCTCTGCTGTTGCGGGGGGTGGAGGACGGGATGTGGCCCACAGCAGGCCTGATAGACACCGTGGTGGAGAGCAGCTGCCGGGAGCGCCGCCTCTCTCCATCTCACATGCGTCTGCCCTCCCCTTTCCCTTCCACTCCCTGCAGAGGAGCTGTTCGCATCAGGCTCCCATGCTGAAGGGAAAGCTCTGCTGTTGCGGGGGGTGGAGGACGGGATGTGGCCCACAGCAGGCCTGATAGACACCGTGGTGGAGAGCAGCTGCCGGGAGCGCCGCCTCTCTCCATCTCACATGCGTCTGCCCTCCCCTTTCCCTTCCACTCCCTGCAGAGGAGCTGTTCGCATCAGGCTCCCATGCTGAAGGGAAAGCTCTGCTGTTGCGGGGGGTGGAGGACGGGATGTGGCCCACAGCAGGCCTGATAGACACCGTGGTGGAGAGCAGCTGCCGGGAGCGCCGCCTCTCTCCATCTCACATGCGTCTGCCCTCCCCTTTCCCTTCCACTCCCTGCAGAGGAGCTGTTCGCATCAGGCTCCCATGCTGAAGGGAAAGCTCTGCTGTTGCGGGGGGTGGAGGACGGGATGTGGCCCACAGCAGGCCTGATAGACACCGTGGTGGAGAGCAGCTGCCGGGAGCGCCGCCTCTCTCCATCTCACATGCGTCTGCCCTCCCCTTTCCCTTCCACTCCCTGCAGAGGAGCTGTTCGCATCAGGCTCCCATGCTGAAGGGAAAGCTCTGCTGTTGCGGGGGGTGGAGGACGGGATGTGGCCCACAGCAGGCCTGATAGACACCGTGGTGGAGAGCAGCTGCCGGGAGCGCCGCCTCTCTCCATCTCACATGCGTCTGCCCTCCCCTTTCCCTTCCACTCCCTGCAGAGGAGCTGTTCGCATCAGGCTCCCATGCTGAAGGGAAAGCTCTGCTGTTGCGGGGGGTGGAGGACGGGATGTGGCCCACAGCAGGCCTGATAGACACCGTGGTGGAGAGCAGCTGCCGGGAGCGCCGCCTCTCTCCATCTCACATGCGTCTGCCCTCCCCTTTCCCTTCCACTCCCTGCAGAGGAGCTGTTCGCATCAGGCTCCCATGCTGAAGGGAAAGCTCTGCTGTTGCGGGGGGTGGAGGACGGGATGTGGCCCACAGCAGGCCTGATAGACACCGTGGTGGAGAGCAGCTGCCGGGAGCGCCGCCTCTCTCCATCTCACATGCGTCTGCCCTCCCCTTTCCCTTCCACTCCCTGCAGAGGAGCTGTTCGCATCAGGCTCCCATGCTGAAGGGAAAGCTCTGCTGTTGCGGGGGGTGGAGGACGGGATGTGGCCCACAGCAGGCCTGATAGACACCGTGGTGGAGAGCAGCTGCCGGGAGCGCCGCCTCTCTCCATCTCACATGCGTCTGCCCTCCCCTTTCCCTTCCACTCCCTGCAGAGGAGCTGTTCGCATCAGGCTCCCATGCTGAAGGGAAAGCTCTGCTGTTGCGGGGGGTGGAGGACGGGATGTGGCCCACAGCAGGCCTGATAGACACCGTGGTGGAGAGCAGCTGCCGGGAGCGCCGCCTCTCTCCATCTCACATGCGTCTGCCCTCCCCTTTCCCTTCCACTCCCTGCAGAGGAGCTGTTCGCATCAGGCTCCCATGCTGAAGGGAAAGCTCTGCTGTTGCGGGGGGTGGAGGACGGGATGTGGCCCACAGCAGGCCTGATAGACACCGTGGTGGAGAGCAGCTGCCGGGAGCGCCGCCTCTCTCCATCTCACATGCGTCTGCCCTCCCCTTTCCCTTCCACTCCCTGCAGAGGAGCTGTTCGCATCAGGCTCCCATGCTGAAGGGAAAGCTCTGCTGTTGCGGGGGGTGGAGGACGGGATGTGGCCCACAGCAGGCCTGATAGACACCGTGGTGGAGAGCAGCTGCCGGGAGCGCCGCCTCTCTCCATCTCACATGCGTCTGCCCTCCCCTTTCCCTTCCACTCCCTGCAGAGGAGCTGTTCGCATCAGGCTCCCATGCTGAAGGGAAAGCTCTGCTGTTGCGGGGGGTGGAGGACGGGATGTGGCCCACAGCAGGCCTGATAGACACCGTGGTGGAGAGCAGCTGCCGGGAGCGCCGCCTCTCTCCATCTCACATGCGTCTGCCCTCCCCTTTCCCTTCCACTCCCTGCAGAGGAGCTGTTCGCATCAGGCTCCCATGCTGAAGGGAAAGCTCTGCTGTTGCGGGGGGTGGAGGACGGGATGTGGCCCACAGCAGGCCTCATAGACACCGTGGTGGAGAGCAGCTGCCGGGAGCGCCGCCTCTCTCCATCTCACATGCGTCTGCCCTCCCCTTTCCCTTCCACTCCCTGCAGAGGAGCTGTTCGCATCAGGCTCCCATGCTGAAGGGAAAGCTCTGCTGTTGCGGGGGGTGGAGGACGGGATGTGGCCCACAGCAGGCCTGATAGACACCGTGGTGGAGAGCAGCTGCCGGGAGCGCCGCCTCTCTCCATCTCACATGCGTCTGCCCTCCCCTTTCCCTTCCACTCCCTGCAGAGGAGCTGTTCGCATCAGGCTCCCATGCTGAAGGGAAAGCTCTTCTGTTGCGGGGGGTGGAGGACGGGATGTGGCCCACAGCAGGCCTGATAGACACCGTGGTGGAGAGCAGCTGCCGGGAGCGCCGCCTCTCTCCATCTCACATGCGTCTGCCCTCCCCTTTCCCTTCCACTCCCTGCAGAGGAGCTGTTCGCATCAGGCTCCCATGCTGAAGGGAAAGCTCTGCTGTTGCGGGGGGTGGAGGACGGGATGTGGCCCACAGCAGGCCTGATAGACACCGTGGTGGAGAGCAGCTGCCGGGAGCGCCGCCTCTCTCCATCTCACATGCGTCTGCCCTCCCCTTTCCCTTCCACTCCCTGCAGAGGAGCTGTTCGCATCAGGCTCCCATGCTGAAGGGAAAGCTCTGCTGTTGCGGGGGGTGGAGGACGGGATGTGGCCCACAGCAGGCCTCATAGACACCGTGGTGGAGAGCAGCTGCCGGGAGCGCCGCCTCTCTCCATCTCACATGCGTCTGCCCTCCCCTTTCCCTTCCACTCCCTGCAGAGGAGCTGTTCGCATCAGGCTCCCATGCTGAAGGGAAAGCTCTGCTGTTGCGGGGGGTGGAGGACGGGATGTGGCCCACAGCAGGCCTGATAGACACCGTGGTGGAGAGCAGCTGCCGGGAGCGCCGCCTCTCTCCATCTCACATGCGTCTGCCCTCCCCTTTCCCTTCCACTCCCTGCAGAGGAGCTGTTCGCATCAGGCTCCCATGCTGAAGGGAAAGCTCTGCTGTTGCGGGGGGTGGAGGACGGGATGTGGCCCACAGCAGGCCTGATAGACACCGTGGTGGAGAGCAGCTGCCGGGAGCGCCGCCTCTCTCCATCTCACATGCGTCTGCCCTCCCCTTTCCCTTCCACTCCCTGCAGAGGAGCTGTTCGCATCAGGCTCCCATGCTGAAGGGAAAGCTCTGCTGTTGCGGGGGGTGGAGGACGGGATGTGGCCCACAGCAGGCCTGATAGACACCGTGGTGGAGAGCAGCTGCCGGGAGCGCCGCCTCTCTCCATCTCACATGCGTCTGCCCTCCCCTTTCCCTTCCACTCCCTGCAGAGGAGCTGTTCGCATCAGGCTCCCATGCTGAAGGGAAAGCTCTGCTGTTGCGGGGGGTGGAGGACGGGATGTGGCCCACAGCAGGCCTGATAGACACCGTGGTGGAGAGCAGCTGCCGGGAGCGCCGCCTCTCTCCATCTCACATGCGTCTGCCCTCCCCTTTCCCTTCCACTCCCTGCAGAGGAGCTGTTCGCATCAGGCTCCCATGCTGAAGGGAAAGCTCTGCTGTTGCGGGGGGTGGAGGACGGGATGTGGCCCACAGCAGGCCTGATAGACACCGTGGTGGAGAGCAGCTGCCGGGAGCGCCGCCTCTCTCCATCTCACATGCGTCTGCCCTCCCCTTTCCCTTCCACTCCCTGCAGAGGAGCTGTTCGCATCAGGCTCCCATGCTGAAGGGAAAGCTCTGCTGTTGCGGGGGGTGGAGGACGGGATGTGGCCCACAGCAGGCCTGATAGACACCGTGGTGGAGAGCAGCTGCCGGGAGCGCCGCCTCTCTCCATCTCACATGCGTCTGCCCTCCCCTTTCCCTTCCACTCCCTGCAGAGGAGCTGTTCGCATCAGGCTCCCATGCTGAAGGGAAAGCTCTGCTGTTGCGGGGGGTGGAGGACGGGATGTGGCCCACAGCAGGCCTGATAGACACCGTGGTGGAGAGCAGCTGCCGGGAGCGCCGCCTCTCTCCATCTCACATGCGTCTGCCCTCCCCTTTCCCTTCCACTCCCTGCAGAGGAGCTGTTCGCATCAGGCTCCCATGCTGAAGGGAAAGCTCTGCTGTTGCGGGGGGTGGAGGACGGGATGTGGCCCACAGCAGGCCTGATAGACACCGTGGTGGAGAGCAGCTGCCAGGAGCGCCGCCTCTCTCCATCTCACATGCGTCTGCCCTCCCCTTTCCCTTCCACTCCCTGCAGAGGAGCTGTTCGCATCAGGCTCCCATGCTGAAGGGAAAGCTCTGCTGTTGCGGGGGGTGGAGGACGGGATGTGGCCCACAGCAGGCCTGATAGACACCGTGGTGGAGAGCAGCTGCCGGGAGCGCCGCCTCTCTCCATCTCACATGCGTCTGCCCTCCCCTTTCCCTTCCACTCCCTGCAGAGGAGCTGTTCGCATCAGGCTCCCATGCTGAAGGGAAAGCTCTGCTGTTGCGGGGGGTGGAGGACGGGATGTGGCCCACAGCAGGCCTGATAGACACCGTGGTGGAGAGCAGCTGCCGGGAGCGCCGCCTCTCTCCATCTCACATGCGTCTGCCCTCCCCTTTCCCTTCCACTCCCTGCAGAGGAGCTGTTCGCATCAGGCTCCCATGCTGAAGGGAAAGCTCTGCTGTTGCGGGGGGTGGAGGACGGGATGTGGCCCACAGCAGGCCTCATAGACACCGTGGTGGAGAGCAGCTGCCGGGAGCGCCGCCTCTCTCCATCTCACATGCGTCTGCCCTCCCCTTTCCCTTCCACTCCCTGCAGAGGAGCTGTTCGCATCAGGCTCCCATGCTGAAGGGAAAGCTCTGCTGTTGCGGGGGGTGGAGGACGGGATGTGGCCCACAGCAGGCCTGATAGACACCGTGGTGGAGAGCAGCTGCCGGGAGCGCCGCCTCTCTCCATCTCACATGCGTCTGCCCTCCCCTTTCCCTTCCACTCCCTGCAGAGGAGCTGTTCGCATCAGGCTCCCATGCTGAAGGGAAAGCTCTGCTGTTGCGGGGGGTGGAGGACGGGATGTGGCCCACAGCAGGCCTGATAGACACCGTGGTGGAGAGCAGCTGCCGGGAGCGCCGCCTCTCTCCATCTCACATGCGTCTGCCCTCCCCTTTCCCTTCCACTCCCTGCAGAGGAGCTGTTCGCATCAGGCTCCCATGCTGAAGGGAAAGCTCTGCTGTTGCGGGGGGTGGAGGACGGGATGTGGCCCACAGCAGGCCTGATAGACACCGTGGTGGAGAGCAGCTGCCGGGAGCGCCGCCTCTCTCCATCTCACATGCGTCTGCCCTCCCCTTTCCCTTCCACTCCCTGCAGAGGAGCTGTTCGCATCAGGCTCCCATGCTGAAGGGAAAGCTCTGCTGTTGCGGGGGGTGGAGGACGGGATGTGGCCCACAGCAGGCCTGATAGACACCGTGGTGGAGAGCAGCTGCCGGGAGCGCCGCCTCTCTCCATCTCACATGCGTCTGCCCTCCCCTTTCCCTTCCACTCCCTGCAGAGGAGCTGTTCGCATCAGGCTCCCATGCTGAAGGGAAAGCTCTGCTGTTGCGGGGGGTGGAGGACGGGATGTGGCCCACAGCAGGCCTGATAGACACCGTGGTGGAGAGCAGCTGCCGGGAGCGCCGCCTCTCTCCATCTCACATGCGTCTGCCCTCCCCTTTCCCTTCCACTCCCTGCAGAGGAGCTGTTCGCATCAGGCTCCCATGCTGAAGGGAAAGCTCTGCTGTTGCGGGGGGTGGAGGACGGGATGTGGCCCACAGCAGGCCTGATAGACACCGTGGTGGAGAGCAGCTGCCGGGAGCGCCGCCTCTCTCCATCTCACATGCGTCTGCCCTCCCCTTTCCCTTCCACTCCCTGCAGAGGAGCTGTTCGCATCAGGCTCCCATGCTGAAGGGAAAGCTCTGCTGTTGCGGGGGGTGGAGGACGGGATGTGGCCCACAGCAGGCCTGATAGACACCGTGGTGGAGAGCAGCTGCCGGGAGCGCCGCCTCTCTCCATCTCACATGCGTCTGCCCTCCCCTTTCCCTTCCACTCCCTGCAGAGGAGCTGTTCGCATCAGGCTCCCATGCTGAAGGGAAAGCTCTGCTGTTGCGGGGGGTGGAGGACGGGATGTGGCCCACAGCAGGCCTGATAGACACCGTGGTGGAGAGCAGCTGCCGGGAGCGCCGCCTCTCTCCATCTCACATGCGTCTGCCCTCCCCTTTCCCTTCCACTCCCTGCAGAGGAGCTGTTCGCATCAGGCTCCCATGCTGAAGGGAAAGCTCTGCTGTTGCGGGGGGTGGAGGACGGGATGTGGCCCACAGCAGGCCTGATAGACACCGTGGTGGAGAGCAGCTGCCGGGAGCGCCGCCTCTCTCCATCTCACATGCGTCTGCCCTCCCCTTTCCCTTCCACTCCCTGCAGAGGAGCTGTTCGCATCAGGCTCCCATGCTGAAGGGAAAGCTCTGCTGTTGCGGGGGGTGGAGGACGGGATGTGGCCCACAGCAGGCCTGATAGACACCGTGGTGGAGAGCAGCTGCCGGGAGCGCCGCCTCTCTCCATCTCACATGCGTCTGCCCTCCCCTTTCCCTTCCACTCCCTGCAGAGGAGCTGTTCGCATCAGGCTCCCATGCTGAAGGGAAAGCTCTGCTGTTGCGGGGGGTGGAGGACGGGATGTGGCCCACAGCAGGCCTGATAGACACCGTGGTGGAGAGCAGCTGCCGGGAGCGCCGCCTCTCTCCATCTCACATGCGTCTGCCCTCCCCTTTCCCTTCCACTCCCTGCAGAGGAGCTGTTCGCATCAGGCTCCCATGCTGAAGGGAAAGCTCTGCTGTTGCGGGGGGTGGAGGACGGGATGTGGCCCACAGCAGGCCTGATAGACACCGTGGTGGAGAGCAGCTGCCGGGAGCGCCGCCTCTCTCCATCTCACATGCGTCTGCCCTCCCCTTTCCCTTCCACTCCCTGCAGAGGAGCTGTTCGCATCAGGCTCCCATGCTGAAGGGAAAGCTCTGCTGTTGCGGGGGGTGGAGGACGGGATGTGGCCCACAGCAGGCCTGATAGACACCGTGGTGGAGAGCAGCTGCCGGGAGCGCCGCCTCTCTCCATCTCACATGCGTCTGCCCTCCCCTTTCCCTTCCACTCCCTGCAGAGGAGCTGTTCGCATCAGGCTCCCATGCTGAAGGGAAAGCTCTGCTGTTGCGGGGGGTGGAGGACGGGATGTGGCCCACAGCAGGCCTGATAGACACCGTGGTGGAGAGCAGCTGCCGGGAGCGCCGCCTCTCTCCATCTCACATGCGTCTGCCCTCCCCTTTCCCTTCCACTCCCTGCAGAGGAGCTGTTCGCATCAGGCTCCCATGCTGAAGGGAAAGCTCTGCTGTTGCGGGGGGTGGAGGACGGGATGTGGCCCACAGCAGGCCTGATAGACACCGTGGTGGAGAGCAGCTGCCGGGAGCGCCGCCTCTCTCCATCTCACATGCGTCTGCCCTCCCCTTTCCCTTCCACTCCCTGCAGAGGAGCTGTTCGCATCAGGCTCCCATGCTGAAGGGAAAGCTCTGCTGTTGCGGGGGGTGGAGGACGGGATGTGGCCCACAGCAGGCCTGATAGACACCGTGGTGGAGAGCAGCTGCCGGGAGCGCCGCCTCTCTCCATCTCACATGCGTCTGCCCTCCCCTTTCCCTTCCACTCCCTGCAGAGGAGCTGTTCGCATCAGGCTCCCATGCTGAAGGGAAAGCTCTGCTGTTGCGGGGGGTGGAGGACGGGATGTGGCCCACAGCAGGCCTGATAGACACCGTGGTGGAGAGCAGCTGCCGGGAGCGCCGCCTCTCTCCATCTCACATGCGTCTGCCCTCCCCTTTCCCTTCCACTCCCTGCAGAGGAGCTGTTCGCATCAGGCTCCCATGCTGAAGGGAAAGCTCTGCTGTTGCGGGGGGTGGAGGACGGGATGTGGCCCACAGCAGGCCTCATAGACACCGTGGTGGAGAGCAGCTGCCGGGAGCGCCGCCTCTCTCCATCTCACATGCGTCTGCCCTCCCCTTTCCCTTCCACTCCCTGCAGAGGAGCTGTTCGCATCAGGCTCCCATGCTGAAGGGAAAGCTCTGCTGTTGCGGGGGGTGGAGGACGGGATGTGGCCCACAGCAGGCCTCATAGACACCGTGGTGGAGAGCAGCTGCCGGGAGCGCCGCCTCTCTCCATCTCACATGCGTCTGCCCTCCCCTTTCCCTTCCACTCCCTGCAGAGGAGCTGTTCGCATCAGGCTCCCATGCTGAAGGGAAAGCTCTGCTGTTGCGGGGGGTGGAGGACGGGATGTGGCCCACAGCAGGCCTCATAGACACCGTGGTGGAGAGCAGCTGCCGGGAGCGCCGCCTCTCTCCATCTCACATGCGTCTGCCCTCCCCTTTCCCTTCCACTCCCTGCAGAGGAGCTGTTCGCATCAGGCTCCCATGCTGAAGGGAAAGCTCTGCTGTTGCGGGGGGTGGAGGACGGGATGTGGCCCACAGCAGGCCTCATAGACACCGTGGTGGAGAGCAGCTGCCGGGAGCGCCGCCTCTCTCCATCTCACATGCGTCTGCCCTCCCCTTTCCCTTCCACTCCCTGCAGAGGAGCTGTTCGCATCAGGCTCCCATGCTGAAGGGAAAGCTCTGCTGTTGCGGGGGGTGGAGGACGGGATGTGGCCCACAGCAGGCCTCATAGACACCGTGGTGGAGAGCAGCTGCCGGGAGCGCCGCCTCTCTCCATCTCACATGCGTCTGCCCTCCCCTTTCCCTTCCACTCCCTGCAGAGGAGCTGTTCGCATCAGGCTCCCATGCTGAAGGGAAAGCTCTGCTGTTGCGGGGGGTGGAGGACGGGATGTGGCCCACAGCAGGCCTCATAGACACCGTGGTGGAGAGCAGCTGCCGGGAGCGCCGCCTCTCTCCATCTCACATGCGTCTGCCCTCCCCTTTCCCTTCCACTCCCTGCAGAGGAGCTGTTCGCATCAGGCTCCCATGCTGAAGGGAAAGCTCTGCTGTTGCGGGGGGTGGAGGACGGGATGTGGCCCACAGCAGGCCTGATAGACACCGTGGTGGAGAGCAGCTGCCGGGAGCGCCGCCTCTCTCCATCTCACATGCGTCTGCCCTCCCCTTTCCCTTCCACTCCCTGCAGAGGAGCTGTTCGCATCAGGCTCCCATGCTGAAGGGAAAGCTCTGCTGTTGCGGGGGGTGGAGGACGGGATGTGGCCCACAGCAGGCCTCATAGACACCGTGGTGGAGAGCAGCTGCCGGGAGCGCCGCCTCTCTCCATCTCACATGCGTCTGCCCTCCCCTTTCCCTTCCACTCCCTGCAGAGGAGCTGTTCGCATCAGGCTCCCATGCTGAAGGGAAAGCTCTGCTGTTGCGGGGGGTGGAGGACGGGATGTGGCCCACAGCAGGCCTCATAGACACCGTGGTGGAGAGCAGCTGCCGGGAGCGCCGCCTCTCTCCATCTCACATGCGTCTGCCCTCCCCTTTCCCTTCCACTCCCTGCAGAGGAGCTGTTCGCATCAGGCTCCCATGCTGAAGGGAAAGCTCTGCTGTTGCGGGGGGTGGAGGACGGGATGTGGCCCACAGCAGGCCTGATAGACACCGTGGTGGAGAGCAGCTGCCGGGAGCGCCGCCTCTCTCCATCTCACATGCGTCTGCCCTCCCCTTTCCCTTCCACTCCCTGCAGAGGAGCTGTTCGCATCAGGCTCCCATGCTGAAGGGAAAGCTCTGCTGTTGCGGGGGGTGGAGGACGGGATGTGGCCCACAGCAGGCCTGATAGACACCGTGGTGGAGAGCAGCTGCCGGGAGCGCCGCCTCTCTCCATCTCACATGCGTCTGCCCTCCCCTTTCCCTTCCACTCCCTGCAGAGGAGCTGTTCGCATCAGGCTCCCATGCTGAAGGGAAAGCTCTGCTGTTGCGGGGGGTGGAGGACGGGATGTGGCCCACAGCAGGCCTGATAGACACCGTGGTGGAGAGCAGCTGCCGGGAGCGCCGCCTCTCTCCATCTCACATGCGTCTGCCCTCCCCTTTCCCTTCCACTCCCTGCAGAGGAGCTGTTCGCATCAGGCTCCCATGCTGAAGGGAAAGCTCTGCTGTTGCGGGGGGTGGAGGACGGGATGTGGCCCACAGCAGGCCTCATAGACACCGTGGTGGAGAGCAGCTGCCGGGAGCGCCGCCTCTCTCCATCTCACATGCGTCTGCCCTCCCCTTTCCCTTCCACTCCCTGCAGAGGAGCTGTTCGCATCAGGCTCCCATGCTGAAGGGAAAGCTCTGCTGTTGCGGGGGGTGGAGGACGGGATGTGGCCCACAGCAGGCCTCATAGACACCGTGGTGGAGAGCAGCTGCCGGGAGCGCCGCCATGCAGACGCACATGACGTGATGAACGCACTGGAGCAGAGAGGATGGACGCCTGCCACGTTCCACCATAACTGTGTTCTCATGAGCATGGTGCGTGGGAGGGGAAGGGGGTTTGAGGGTGGTGCTCGAGATGTCTCAGAACATGTATGGTGAGCTGAGCTGTGTCAAGACGCACATTACGTGATGAACGCGCTGGAGCAGAGAGGATGGACGCCTGCCACGTTCCACCATAACTGCGTGCTCATGAGCATGGTGGGTGGTGTATGGGGGAGGGGGGGGGAGTCATGGGTATGGCGTATGTATTGGGGAAGCATGCACCACTAACCCTCCCCTCCCACCTCTTACTTAGACCCCCCACCCGCCCTCCTCCCCTCCCACCAGAGGAAGCAAGACGGAGTCGACAGACATAGCGGCGTAGAAGCTGGAAGCCATGGCGCTCCACCCCTCAAACCCCCCCCTGGAGTGCGCCATGGCGAGGGGAGGGGATCCAGTCACTAGGAGAAGCTGGAAGCCATGGCGCTCCACCCCTCAAACCCCCCTCTGCCCCCCTCCCACCCCTCGTCAACTATCACTCCCACACCGAAGACAGCCTCTCCGAGTGAGGCTCGGAGGTGGGGGCCATCGCTGTGCCTTAACCACCTCAACACCACCACCCTTTCCCCCGCCCGCCCCCACCCCCTCCCCCCCGTTTATCAGAGCAAGGCGGGCGTGCCGGACATAGCAGTGCAGAAGCTAGAAGCCATGGTGGAGGAGCAACGCGGTGAGTGGGACGAGGTGGGGTTGAGGGCGGGTGGTGCAAATGCGGGCGAGGGGGGCATGCGTGGTACATAAGTCGGGCATGCGTGGGTACATAAGTCGGGCATGCGTGGTACATAAGTCGGGCATGCGTGGTACATAAGTCGGGCATGCGTGGTACATAAGTCGGGCATGCGTGGGTACATAAGTCGGGCATGCGTGGTACATAAGTCGGGCATGCGTGGTACATAAGTCGGGCATGCGTGGGTACATAAGTCGGGCATGCGTGGTACATAAGTCGGGCATGCGTGGGTACATAAGTCGGGCATGCGTGGGTACATAAGTCGGGCATGCGTGGTACATAAGTCGGGCATGCGTGGGTACATAAGTCGGGCATGCGTGGTACATAAGTCGGGCATGCGTGGTACATAAGTCGGGCATGCGTGGTACATAAGTCGGGCATGCGTGGTACATAAGTCGGGCATGCGTGGGTACATAAGTCGGGCATGCGTGGTACATAAGTCGGGCATGCGTGGGTACATAAGTCGGGCATGCGTGGTACATAAGTCGGGCATGCGTGGGTACATAAGTCGGGCATGCGTGGGTACATAAGTCGGGCATGCGTGGTACATAAGTCGGGCATGCGTGGGTACATAAGTCGGGCATGCGTGGTACATAAGTCGGGCATGCGTGGTACATAAGTCGGGCATGCGTGGTACATAAGACGGGCATGCGTGGTACATAAGACGGGCATGCCGGACATTGCAGTGCAGAAGCTCGAGGCCATGGTGGAGGAGCAACGCGGTGAGTGGGACGTGGTGGGGTTGTGGGCGGGCTGCGAGGGATGGTGCGGATGGCGGGGAGGGGGGGTGGGGTTATGCGTGGGCACATAAGGCGGGCGTGTTGGACATTGCAGTGCAGAAGCTGGAAGAAATGGTGGCAGAGCAACGCGGTGAGTAGGAGGGGGGGAGATTGGAGGAGGGGTGAGAGGAAGGGAGGAGGGGAAGGGGCGAGGGAGAGGGGTTTGAGGGGCGGGTTGGGGCGGGTGGGTGTGGGGGTGGGTTGGGGCGAGTAGGTTCTGTAATGTTGAAGAGGAAGAGGTGATGACGGTTGAGGGGCTGCAGGGTTTTTTTTAGAATTCTAAAAAAAACCCTGCAGCGTGATGACGGTTGAGGGGCTGCATAGCATGAACGCTCGGCAGCTGTGTGCCGCTCACCAGGGAGGGAGAGACGGAGGGAGCAGTGCATGCATTGGCCTCGCAATCATGCTCTGTGTTGCAACTACAATAACACCATGTAATCTTCCACCTTGCATCTCTAATGCTTCGTCTACACCTCCACCTTTTCTTAATCAAATTCTATCCCATGTGTGCCCTTTGTGCCCCGTGCACTTCATTTGCACATCACAAATGACGCCACAGAGGGGTTGAAGGAGAGTCGCAGGGAGGGCAAGCCAGACGTGCACTCCTACAACTGGGTGCTCGAGGCCTTCGCTGCACACCCCCAGGAGAGGTGGGTTACGGCAAAGGCTGGGTTAACTCAGCTCAGCCCGCGTTCCTCGCTGTGGAATTCGGGCGCCAAAGTTGTGCATGGGCCACATGCGTGCAGTCAAAGTCATTCCAATGAAGCTCTCCGCGCCACGAATTCCTGTTGCTCTTCCTCCTACCCCTGCCTGTCCCCTCCTTCTGCCATGGCCCCTGCCCATACGCGGTGCTCATACGCCCTGCGCCCCTGCCTCCTGCCCCCTGCCTCCTGCCCCCTGCCGCCTGCCCCCTGCCGCCTGCCCCCTGCTGCCTGCCCCCTGCCTCCTGTCCCCCTGCCTCCTGTCCCCCGGCATGGCATGGCAGGTACGAGGACACGTTGGAGTTCATGGGGCGCATGGTGGAGGACAGCACCGTGCATCCCAACGGCAACACCTACGCGTACGTGCCCTCGCCTCACTGCCTTGTATGTCCCCTCACGCGGTCGCTTGAGTATGTGCTCTGCCTATGTGCCCGCACATGTCACTCGCCGTTCCTCCCATGGGGGCGCATGGTGGAGGACAGCACAGTGCATCCCAACGGCAACACCTACGCGTACGTGCCCTCCGCCCTCGCATGACATCGCATGCCTTGTCCGTGCCCCCACTGTCGCTTGACTGTGATGTGACCATGTGTCAAGTGCCATGCTTGTTTCCCATAGCTGCCTGCGCCACTTCTCCCCACAGCTGTCCCCTGTTTCTCTATCCTCTCCTTCTCCTCGCCCCAGACTGCTAGTGGAGAAATTCTGCAAGGACTGGAACTTTCTATCAGAGGCCGTGCGGCACTGCCCCTCGCACCTGTTCCCCATGCCCTTGTCCTCTGCCTGCCCCCACCCCTCCCCCTCTCGCCCCCCCCCACCTCCTCTCCCTCCCCTCTCCCCAGTCTGCTAGTGGAGATATTCTGCAAGGACTGGAACTTCCTATCAGAGGCCGTGCGGCACTTCCCCTCCACACCTTTTTCCCATGCCCTTGTCCCCTGCCTTTTCCCCCCATCCTCCATCTTTGCGCCCCCTCCCCCCCCCCCTTTCTCCCCCTCCCTTCCCCCAGTCTGCTGGTGGAGATATTCTGCAAGAACTGGAACTTCCTATCAGAGGCCGTGCGGCACTGCCCCCTACATCTGTTTATCACAGCCTTGACCCCTCCCCCCCTCCTCCTCGCCCCAGTCTGCTGATCGAGATATTCTGCAAGGACTGGAACTTCCTATCAGAGGCCGTGCGGCACTTCCGGGCCCTGCAGCGCCTGCCAGGCCAGATGACCTGCCTGGACGTGCAGAGGGGGGACCGCTACCACGCCACGGCTCTCTTTCTCAGAGCGCTCTGCCGAGCAGGTGGGTTGTGACGTCTGAGGCGCCTCAAAAGTCCGATAGCGGCTGCCAGGCCAGATGACCTGCCTCAACGTGCAGAGGGGGGACCGCTACCATGCCACCGCTCTCTTCCTCAGAGCGCTCTGCCGAGCAGGTGAGCTTCAGTCGATGGGAAAATGGGTTTCAGTTGATGGGAAAATGGGTTTCAGTTGATGGAAAAATGGGTTTCAGTTGATGGGAAAATGGGTTTCAGTTGATGGGAAAATGGGTTTCAGTTGATGGGAAAATGGGTTTCAGTTGATGGGAAAATGGGTTTCAGTTGATGGGAAAATGGTTTTCAGTTGATGAGAAAATGGGTTTCAGTTGATGGGAAAATGGGTTTCAGTTGATGGGAAAATGGTTTTCAGTTGATGAGAAAATGGGTTTCAGTTGATGGGAAAATGGGTTTCAGTTGATGGAAAAATGGGTTTCAGTTGATGGGAAAATGGGTTTCAGTTGATGGGAAAATGGGTTTCAGTTGATGGGAAAATGGGTTTCAGTTGATGGGAAAACGGGTTTCAGTTGATGGGAAAATGGTTTTCAGTTGATGGGAAAATGGGTTTCAGTTGATCAGAAAATGGGTTTCAGTTGATGGGAAAATGGTTTTCAGTTGATGAGAAAATGGGTTTCAGTTGATGGGAAAATGGGTTTCAGTTGATGGGAAAATGGGTTTCAGTTGATGGGAAAATGGTTTTCAGTTGATGGGAAAATAGGAATCATTGATGGGAAGGTGGGACGGAGTCAATGTGCTGCAATGTGTGAGTCGATTCATCAAAGCTGGACGTGCAAATGGGGGATTGCTACCATGCCACCGCTCTTTTCCTCAGGGCGCTCTGCCGGGCTGGTGCGTTTCAGTCAAGGGAGAGGTGAGTTTAAAAGGATCGTTCATTTGATAGAGGCGCGAGTCGTAATCATTGTCATGAAGTCGGATGTGCAAAAGGGGGACCCTACCACGCTACCGCTTTTGGAGAGCTCTCAAAAGCGACTGTACCACGCTTCCGCCCGCTTCCTCAGGGCGCTCTGCCTGGCAGGTGGGTTCTTGTCGGCGGGCAGGTGAGTTTCGCTTGATGGGGAGGTGAGTTTCCTTTCCTTGTTTCCTTGTTCCCTTCGCCCTCACTGCCCCGGATCTTGTGCAGCAGGAGCAGCAGGTGGTGGTGCAGGCGATGGTGCTTGACGCCATGGTGCTTGACGCCATGGTCATTCTGTGGGGATGGCGATTCTCTGGCAGTGAGCTGCACGTCATGGGTCATTCTGCAGCTCCTTTTTCACGATTCTCTTCTCCGCTTCTCGCTCCCTCGTTCCCTCTCTCTCCCCTCGTTGGGCAGGTCTGGTGCAGGAGATGCAGGAGGTGCTACTGGCGATGGTGCGCGACAGAGTGAGGCTGCCAGCGTCGGCACTGCTGGTGGACAAGCGTACCCGCCGCACGCTGGTGTCCGCATGGATGCAGCCGTGCGACATGGAACCCGATTATGGCCAGCCCACTGACTTCATTCAACGGTAAGAAGGCTCAGCGCCAGCATCATATTAAGTGGCATCATCATCATCGGCATGCATACCAGCATCATCACCAGCGCTGGTGTCGGCATGGATGCAGCCGTGTGACATGGAGCCCGATTATGGTCAGCCCACCGACTTCATTCAACGGTAAGAAGGCTCAGCGCCAGCATCGTATTAAGTGCCATCATCGGCATCAGCATGTATACCAGCATCATCACCAGCGCTGCTGTCCGCATGGATGCAGCCGTGTGACATGGAACCTGATTATGGTCAGCCCACTGACTACATTCAACGGTGAGATGCTGGTGACTTCAGGATTATGAGCTTCATTATAGGAGGAACATCAGCCAGCATCAGCATCAGCATCAGCATCAGCATATCAGCATCACCATCAGCATCAGCATATCAGCATCAGCATCAGCATCAGCATATCAGCATCAGCATATCAGCATCAGCATATCAGCAGCAGCAGCAGCATCAGAATATCAGCATATCAGCATATCAGCATCAGCATTAGCATATCAGCATATCAGCATCAGCATATCAGCAGCAGCAGCAGCATCAGAATATCAGCATATTAGCATATCAGCATATTAGCATATCAGCATCAGCATCAGCATATCAGCATCACCATCAGCATCAGCATATCAGCATCAGCATCAGCATATCAGCATCAGCATATCAGCAGCAGCAGCAGCAGCAGCATCAGAATATCAGCATATCAGCATATCAGCATCAGCATTAGCATATCAGCATATCAGCATCAGCATATCAGCAGCAGCAGCAGCATCAGAATATCAGCATATTAGCATATCAGCATATCAGCATCAGCATCAGCATCAGCATACCAACGCCACCAGTGGCTTCAGCGACGCACACTGCAGTCGTCGGCATGGATGCAGCCGTGTGACATGGATGCAGCTGTGTGACATGGATGCAGCCGTGTGACATGGAGCCCGATTGTAGCCGAACGCACTTACTTCTCCTTCCATTCTTATCGTCTGCCTGTGCTCCTTGTTTCGTTACCCCCACATAAACCCCCACTCCACCAGAGCCGCAGAGGAGTCAGAGGAGTGGAGCAGGGAGAGGAGGGAGAAGAGGGACATGGAGCGCCATGGGGTGTGGTGGATGGAAACGTACGAGCTGCCGGGCTTCTGGTTGCGCTGCTCCCTCCTCCGTTACCAATCCTTCTGTCGTGATCCCCTCTTCTTTGTTTGCCTGTGTGCCTCTGTACCCCTTACTCACACATGCACCCATGCCCTGAACAGAGCTGCAGAGGAGTCAGAGGAGTGGAGCAGGGAGAGGAGGGAGAAGAGGGACATGGAGCGCCACGGGGGGTGGTGGCGGGTCAAGATGGACACGGACGAGCTGCCTGGCTTCTGGCTGCCTCCCCCGATCGTGTCGTTTGAAGAGAGCCTTGTGCGCCGCTTCCGGGGCTGCCGCAAGCAGCTCTACTACACACTCATGTGGCGGGTGAGGGGATAGAGGGAGATAACAGTGTAGTGCGGTAAAGTGTGTGCTAGTTCTGGCTGCCGCCACGAAACGGTGTCGTTTGAGCAGAGCCTTGTGCGGCGCTTCCGGGCATACCGCAAGTAGCTCTACTACACACTCATGTGGCGGGTGAGAACGGTTGAGTACGATAGAGTGTGGTTGAGTGCGGTGCAAGCAGCTCTCTACAACACATGCTTCTGGCTGCCGCCTCCCATCGTGTCGTTTGAGGAGAGCCTTGTGCGGCGCTTTTGGGCATACCGCAAGCAGCTCTACTACACACTCATGTGGCGGGTGAGAGAGAGCATGGATGGGGAGATAGGGAATGGTGGTGTGCAGGAGGTGAAGGTGGTTGAGTGCGGTGCAAGCAGCTTTATTCCACCCTCATGTGGCGTGTGAGAGCAGAGGGGGAGAGCGTTGAGAGCGGTGCAAGCAGCCCTACTACACTCTGCAAGGAGTGTTTGCAGGTCATACCTTTCCGGGATTTTTTTTTAATTCTTGACGTTGCAGGGATTTTTAAGAAATTCTTGAAGTTGCGGGGATTTTTCTAGAATTCTCAAAAAATCTCTGCAGCCCTACTACACTCTGCAAGGAGCGTGTGCAGGTCATACCTTTCCAGCATCTCTTCCCTCCTGCTTTTCCCTCCAACCCTCCCAACCGTCCACCTTATAGGGAGTGGCAGCGTGGCCGGCAGGATTGGGAGTGAGCAAGGAGGAGGCAGTGGAGGTGGCGGAGTGGCTGGAGATCCGACCATCCCGCCACTAAAATTTCCTCCCCCTTCTCGTCATTCCCTTCCGCCCCCTCTCCTCCCATCTACCAGGGAGTGGCGGCATGGCCAGTGGATCTAGGGGTGAGCAAGGAGGAGGCGGTGGGTGACAGTGGCGGAGTGGCTGGAGGTCTGACTGACCCTGCCCCATCTCTTCCCTTTCCCCCACATCACCCCCCTCCTCCCTCCCCCCCCCCACCTTTCTCTCGTCTACCGTTTCTCCTTTCTTCCAGGGAGTGGCGGCGTGGCCGGCGGATCTAGGGGTGAGCAAGGAGGAGGCGGTGGAGGTGGCGGAGTGGTTAGAGATGGAGCTGCAGATCCAGGGCCCCACAGGGGCGGGCGCAGGCACTCCCATGGGCGGAGGCGGATCCGCCTTGCTCCCAGCCGCATCTGCTGGTGCTGGTGCTTCTGCGAGTAGTGATGCAGGCACTGCTGCTGGCACTGCCACGACCAGCACCAGTGCCACTGGTTCTTGGGGCCTAACCGGTGGCTTGACGGGCGGGCTGACGGGGAGATTGATGGGGGCGAGAGGGGGAGCGAGGGCGCCCAAGGCGGCGAGCAAGATGGTGGTGGGGGAGCTGCGGCAGGAGCTGGCGGGGCAGGGGCTGCCCACCGATGGTAACCGTGCCATGCTGTATGCTCGCGTGCAGCGCGCCAGAAGGCTGAATAAGGCTCTGGGGAAGCCCCTGTGGACGCCGCAAACCAGAGAACCCGTCATGCAGGTGAGATTGGGGTGCTGACTGGTGGAGGTGGAGGTGACTGCTGCCGAGGAAGCTCTAGTGGACGCCCCAGGCCCGGGAGCCCGTCATGTAGGTGGGTGGTTGGTGAATCATCAGATTTGAGTCAATCATTGTGTTTCTAGGAGATTGAGAGGATAGTCTCTTGCTCTCCATGACCTTGCCTCTTTTCTCTCTCGAGCCCCTACATGTGCAGGCGAGTGTGTGAGTGGAGTATCTGCTAGAGCTCCTGATGAGGGAGGATAAACTCCTCTTTCTCTCTCACCTTCCCCACACCCCTGCTCTTACAGGCGAGTGTGTGAGTGGAGTATCTGCTGGAGCACCTGACACTGGACGGCACAGCAGCGTCCTGGCCGCAGGTGATAGAGATGATCGACTCAATTCCGCCCCAGTTCGTCCCCTTGTACCCCCCTTACTTTACAGGCGAGTGCGAGAGTGGAGTATCTGTTGGAACATCTCACACTGGATGGCACAGCGGCGTCATGGCCGCAGGTGATAGAGATGATGAGGGAGAGCGAGCGGCGGGCGAATGAGGAGCAGCAGCAGCGCGAGCAGGATGAGCGGCAGCGGGAAGCAGACGAGAAGCAGCGGGCGGCCGACGAGCGGCAGCGGGTGGAAGACAAGCGGATCCGGGCGGCACTGTCCGGCGGGGAGGAAGAGGACGAAGAGGAGGAGGAGTACGAAGAAGAGGAAGATGAGGAAGAGGACGAGGATGATGAAGATGAGGAGGAGGAGGAGGAGGAGGAGGAGGAGGAGGAGGAGGAGGAGGAGGAGGAGGAGGAGGAGGAGGAGGAGGAGGAGGAGGAGGAGGAGGAGGAGGAGGAGGAGGAGGAGGAGGAAGAGGAAGAGCTAGAAGTAGACGATGTGATAGATGATGAGGAGGATGAAGACGAGGAGGAGGAGGAGGAGGGGGCGGTGGGGGAAGAGGACGAGGCGGTGGACGAGGAGGAGGTGGCGCCAGGGCAGGCAGGCGGCATGCTGGGCGGCGGAGCAGAGAGGGAGGTGTCGGTGCTGGCCATGGAGGAGGAGGGCATGCGGGGCGGCGGCGGGCTGCTCACATCGCAGCTTGTGGGCGGCGGTGGGGGCGGTGGGGGTGGGAGCACAGCAGGCAGAGCCAAGGCCAAGTCGTCGGTGAGTTTAGATGCACAGATGCATGCTCTTGTGATAGAAGTAGTGTTTTGAGACGTCTCAAAACACAGATGCATGCGCTCGTACTACCGTCCTCTCATTCTCTCATGTAATCGTGCTCCTTTTCTCCCTTTCTCTTTCCCCCATGTACGACGATGAGGACAAGGGTGAGGTGCATGCAGCAGGCAGAAAACACTAAACAGCAGAAGCACTCAAATCCTCCCTCTCCCATACCCTCCTGCTTCTCCCCATCCCCTCTCCCCCTTCCCCAGGACCTTTACGACGATGAGGACGAGGGGGAGGTGCATGCAGCAGCGCCGGCCATCCTAGCCGGGTCAGCAGCGCAGGCAGCAGAGGAGGACGAGGAGATGCAGGCGTTCCGCGCAGAGGAGGACCTCATACCGCTCTCCACCACTCTGGACGGCATCTTCACCTTGGAGGAGCGGTGGGGGCACTGGTGGGAGCGGGCTGACAAGGAGCGTGTCGTGCAGCCGTGGAGTGAGAGGATGGAGCTTGACAGTGCTTGGAGCATCTTTCAACTGGTGAGGATGAGAGGAAGTGACGAAGTGACAATAAGGGAGTGAGGCATTGGGACAAAGAGATGATGATACAATGCGACGAGCGAATGAGTCTGTCTTTGGTGCTTATATGGGACAAAGCTTCCCTCTCACCATTCCCACTGCCCGTGCCATTTGTTGCTCCCTCAGGTGATTGAGCTGGGCGGCGTGCCGACCCTGGCAGACTGCTGCATGGTGCTGTGGGCGGCAGTGGACGGCAACGATTGTCGTATTATGCAGGGGGTGGTCGAGAAGTCGCACGCGATTGGTCACAAGTTCGGCATGTGAGTGAAACGTTAAGCATGTCCCTTGGTGTACATTGTAAGCATGTCTCTTACCACTCCGTATCACACATTCTGACATGGTTATGGAGCTTATAAGGATGTTGCATACATTCGATGCAAGCCTGCTTCTCTTCTCGCCCTTGCTCCTGTCCGAAATTGTTCCAACTTGAAAGCTCTGTGACGCTCACCTCCTTCCCACCCCGTTTCCATTGTCGCTTCTCTGCCCTTTCATTCCTAACCAACTGCCTCTGCTTCCTGCTCCTGCTCTGCCATCCCGGTCTGCTCTCCCTCCCCCCCTGCCTTCCTCTGTTCTCCTCCCCTTCACTTGCAGCAACCTCTACAAGACAGTGGTCAACACGTGCCTTGGGCTCCTGGAGATTGACACAGCGGTGGCAATCTTGGAAGATATGCAGCGAGCAGGTGTCCAACCAGGCGATGACATGTGGCAGCATGTGGAAGAGGCCCGCCGGGTGGCGGCTGAGCGGGTCGTTGAGGAGCAACGGCGGCGAGAGGCTGCTGAGGTGGCGGCTGCAGAAGCGGCAGCTGCTGATGAAGTTCTACCAGTCATGGAAGGCGAGGAGAGTGGAGCTGACGGGAAAGAAGCAGGTTTGGAAAGAAGTGAAGGAGCCTCCGGAGGAGGGTTATCAAGTGAATTGGACAAATGAGAGTAAAAGAACTGGTTGTCATTGCGACTGCATATTTTTGCTGAGTCTGTGGAATAACTACTGCCAGTGCTGTGCCTGCACGAAGTGTGTGGGGCATGTGAAATGCTTTTTCTTTTTATCAGACGTTTCATCTTTGTGAGGCAATTTCGTGAGTTAATGTAATGCAGGGCAGCGAATTGTCACTTGAACTGGTAAGATCGACGGTCACAGTCGACACGAGTTTGCCACTCTGTCAGGTCAGGTCAGGTTGCGGAAATCTTAACCCTCAAGCTTAAGACATTTTCGCAATGAATACAGTGCATGGAGTACACATATCAAGTTGGGCTGTACTACATCATAGGGAGGATCAGTGCATGTCAACCTGCCCACTGCCCTGCCCTGCCCCACCCAACCACAGGTAAACCCTAGCATCATCCCTCCCTCTCTTGTACTACCATCATCGGCCTAATTTCTTCCGCTCCACAATTCTCCACTCGATTCTTGAATCTTGATCCTCGTCATTCCTAATTTTGCCGCTATATTTCTGCGCTCTAGGCTTACCGATTGCTAATACGGTTCTGTAAAGCCTCAAATATATCGGAGCTGAGTGCCGGTGAAAACGAGCCGCCATGTATAACGGCATAGGGCTTCAGACGGCCCGCGGGTCGGGCACCAACGGATACGTGCAGGCGAACAAATTCGTGATTCGCCACCGGCACACGAAGTTCGAGGCGAAAGAGTTCCAAGAAGGCGCGGGAACGGGCGGAATTAGTCGCAAGGCGAACAAAGAGATTCTGGAGCACGACCGGAAGCGGCAGATTGAGCTGAAGCTGCTGCTGCTGCGCGAGACGCTGGAGGAGCAGGGATACCTGGAGGAGGAGATGGAGGACCAGATGGAGCAGGCGCGCGCGCAGCTCGAGGCCGCCATGCGCGAGGAATCGGAGGACCAGGCGCTGGAGTCGCTAGGGTGAGCTGACCCAACCACGTGTCTTCACTGCTGTTTGATTCTGCTAGCTTGGTAGTTCTGTTCGGTGGCTCATTTACTCGCTGATTTTCCGCTCGTTTCTCGACTGCTCGGACTTGCTTAGGGTTTCTCGGCTCCTGATTGTGTTCGATCTTTGCTTCGACTTGTTTTCCGGTCCTTTCGTGGCGACGGGTGGCAACGGTTGGCGACGATTGGCGACGGGTGGCGACGGCTGGCAGGAACCAGACACATCAGATCGTGGCGCGCAAGGAGAAGAAGATGGAGACGCTCAAGGCCGCTCTGCGCATTAACGAGTCTGCTAAAGAAGGGGACGCGTTTGACCGCGAGCTGCAGGAGCAGCGGCGGCAGGAGCGGCAGCTGGCGCGGGAGGAGGCGGAGGAGGCGCGGCGGCGGGAGGAGAAGGAGCGGGAGAAGGAGGAACGGCGTAGGGAGAAGCAGAGGCGGAAGGAGGAGAAAGAGATGAAGAAGAGGCTTAAGAAAGAAGAGAAGGCGCGGAGGCGGGCGGAGGAGGAGGCGGCGGAGCGGGAGGAGGAGATGAGGCGGAAGGAAAAGAAGGCGCGGAAGCTCCGGGAAGCGGAGGAGGCGCGGCGGGCGGAAGAGGCGCGGGAGGCGGAGGCGCGGAGGGCGGAAGAGGAAGTTAGGCGGAGGGAGGAGGAGGCGGAGCGCAGGGAGGTGGAGAGGTTGAGAGCGGAGCGGAAGAGGGAGGAAGGGCGGCGGAAGGACGAAGGGGAGACGCGGAGGGGAGACGAGAGGAGGGGGAGGGGAAGAGAGGAGGAGCAGGCGGGTGAGCGGAAGAAGCAGCGGAGGGACGCGCGCGCGACTGATGCTGCTGATATAGATGAGGGCGAGGACAGGTGGATGGCAGGCAAGAGCATCTCGTTCAAGAAGCGGGAGGGGGCGAGGGAGGAGAGAGGGGAATCGGAGAGCGAGGAGGAGGAGCGGGAACGGGGGCGGGGGAGGAAGGCGGAGCAGGTTGAGAAGGACTCCGAGGGTCGCGGCAGCAGGCAGCAGAGGTCGTTCCGCGCCGAGCCCAAAGACCTCTCGCCCAATCGCCGCTCTGCCTCTCCAAAGCGCGGACGCTCCCCCAGCCCCAAGCGTGCCCGTTCTCCCAGCCCCAAGCGTTATCGCGCCCCCAGCCCCAGAGCCGCTCCTTCCCCCAGTCCCGCACTCTCCCGCTCCCCCAGCCCTAAGCGCGCCGCTCCGCCCACGTTCAAGCGCGCCCGCTCCCCCAGCCCCAAGAGAGGCCGTTCCCCCAGCCCTCAGCGGCGGCCAGTAAGGGCTGTTGGTGCTGCCCCTGCCGCTGCCGCTTCCCCCACGAGCTCCTCCGGTCCCTCGTCTCCCTCCTCGTCTCTCTCTCGCTCGCCCTCCAGGTCGCCTGCTCGCTCGCCCTCTCCTCCCCGCCGCAGGCAGGTTGCTGCTGCTACCAGGCCGCGCCATGACAGCAGGAGCGCGTCTCCCCCTCCCAGGGGGGCCGAAGGCGGGGGCAGAGGGGGAGTCAGGGGTGGGGATGGGGGCGGGGGCGGTAGGGGCAGGGGTGGGTCTCCAGAGGTGAGGGGGAGGGACGATAGGTCCCCAGTGCGCAGGGCTGGGGGCAAAGGCAGGGATGTGTCTCCTGCTGCGAGGGGCGGCAAGGGGGATTTGGGGGGAAGCAGGGGCGAGGGCAAGGGGGCAGGGGGAAGGTTGGCGTCTCCTGAGACCAGGGGTGGGCGGGGGGACAGGGAAGGGGGGAGGCGGCGGAGGGGAAGGGACGATAGTGAAAGTGAAGATGAGTTACCAAGGGGGAGGCGGGGGAGGTGATTTATCAGTTGAGTCTTCTCGTGAGGAGTTTTTAATGGAGGGAGACAGTTGGGGTTCATGATTGTGAGGGCAGTGAATGGATGTGAGGGCAGCTGGTGGGAGGGATGGTGGGCTTGAAGCATGCATGGACACATATTTTTCAGAAAACCGGTTTTGGGTGATGTGATGAGCAGTGAGAAAGTGACAGGATCGTGGGAGAAAGGCTGAGAAGAGAGCTTCAATCAATTGTGGTGAAAGGAACAGTGTTATGACTATGAGGCTTTGAGATGCGTCACTGGTAAAGGCACTTGATCTTCTGTTTCTTTTCAGTTGAACTGTTAGCACTTCTTGGTGGTGTCTTATGACAGTCTACTGTGAACAAATTTAAGACATTGGAGAAAAATGACAGCAATTCGAAATGAGCTGGCTAGGGCTGACTTTGCCAGGGCATGTGGTTCATTCAGAAGTCTTATGGTAGGTACTAACTTGGACTGCCAACCAAGCCAACCATTATGTGCCGCTGTATTGTAACCCCGGAAGGAATCCTACCGTACCGGTAGCTTGGGAGGGGGAAGCAAGGCAGGAGAGCCGTGTGCATAGCATGTTCCTCTTGAGCAATCGGGTTCTTCTCTCCATCCAACAACCCCCCCTCAGGGCCCTCGTTAGCAGACTAATTTAGTCTGTTGGTCTAGGTTTCAGGCACGAACTGTGTAGTTCATATGCTGCGGCAGACTTTAGGTTATGGGCCATATGTGAGCCAAGACCAAGGCTATAGCATCATATGTTTTTTCAGGAAACTTATATAGATTCGTCTGATCAAGCAAAAATCGCGTATTGATTCGTCTGATAGAGACAAAATAGCCCAGTTGGCCAGAGGAGCAGTGATGTGTTGCATGTGAAGGCACGCGTAATGATTTCTGCGTGAGGGAACGGGGGTGAATTTCGGATTCTTCCTGCCAGCGCATACTGCATCTGACTCAGTTGCTGCCACGCATCTGTTGGGTAGCTGTTGTCGGCGCCGCTGCCAGGCTGTTGCACCCCACCTCGCTGGCAGAGGTCAAGGACAGTCGGTGCACACCAAAACAAAGCATGCACCCACCTTCGTGAAACCCTCGTGAGAGAGACGCGGCGCGGTTCGTGAGGTGATGGTCCCTTCCCTTCCTTTCTTCTCCAAGCCTTTATTTGACAACCTGCCTTTGCCTTTCAATCTTTGACGCCTAGCCCAAAGCATACCTATCGTCCCGTAGCTTGTTCCCGCGTACCGTCTAGAATTCCTGTGTTGCTACTGCCTCATGTGATGTGATACACCACCTCACACCATGCTATACGGCGCCCTCGAGTCAACCGACGGCGCTAGGCGTGATCCACCCGGGGTACCTAACGAGCCACAGGTTTCTGCGTTATATTTCCTAACCCGTAACACTCCGGCAGCAATTCCTGTGACCACCACTGCCGCAGTCGAGACGCCTCCGCCTGTAATTCCTTCCCCCAACGTCATCACATCATGCAACGACGAGCCGCTTATCCCCTCGCAATCCACGTCAGACGCTACTGAGACTACGACCCAGCCTAACCCGGCTGAAGCTGAGTCTTCGCCGCAACCCGTTTCGGCATCTGTGGCCACAACTCTACCGGCGATTTCTGTTTCTCGCATCAGAGCAGGGAACGGTAAATACAAACAGCGAATTCTGAGCTTTGCCCGTCCCACTGCAGGTGTCCCGCCAGCAACCGTCCCCCGCTTTAGCACACCTCGCCCGGGCCCGTCACAGCCCGTCGCCGCCAACGACGACGACAAGTATCCGCGCGTCTTGACCGTCGAGCAGTGGCAGCAGAAGGCCAACGAGAAATGGCTCAAGCACTTCCCGTGGCTCATCATCTCGGAGACTTCATGGGGTCAACCCTGCATGAGGTGTTCAATCTGCATGGTGCACGGAGACCCCAGCTACCAGTACGGCCGCGATGGAGAGGGTGGGCTTGACATTGAACGACAGACGATGCGGAAACATCAGCATTCCATCAAGCATGAGGCGTCACTGGACCGCCAACAGTTGCGTGACTGCAAGAATGCTGCTCAGAAGTCGATTGTCGACTTTGAAAACGGTGACGGGGAAGCCAATCGTTTGACAAAACTCCTGGCAACAGTTATTTTTATTTGCAGAAGCGACTCACCCATTGTGCTGTTTGTGACGCTGGTCCAGTTCATGGCAGAGATGGGCACGCCCGACATGCCCCTGAAGGATCCCGGCACCTACTACAGCGAGTAAGTGTTATGTTTTTTTTGCGCGTCCTTTAGTTGGAAACCACGGTACTAATTACCTTCTCTCTGGTCGTTACAGGTACGGGTTTGCGCAGTTGGTTGAGACGCTCGTCATCTACCTCCGTGCTCAACAGATGAAGCACATCCGGGAGAGTCCTTACCTGGGCATTCAATTGGACGAGAGCACGGACCGTCGGCGCGGGAAGCACCTGATAGTCTACTTGTCGTTCCTCCGCAGCAACACTCCAGTCACCGAATTTTTCGCACACCTAACAGTTGAGCAGTGCGATGCTGGTTCCCTGCAGGCAGTCCTTCTAACCCACCTGGAGTCTACCGGCCTCGACCTTGAGCGCATCAGTGGCATCAGCACTGACGGTGCAAGCGTCACGCCTTCGTGCACGGATTCCACACCTCGCCGGGTTCCACTGCATCGCGCACAGGTTTGTAACCCTGTGATATTATGCTCACCTTTTAAGCGTTGCATATGTATCTAACTTGTTGCTTTTTCCGTGCTATGTCAGGGAAGCGTTGGCCGCAAAGGATGCAGCAGAGGCCTACCCCGACCTTGACATCGTCGACCATGTCGTCCGTTCCTTAGCGGAGCTCCTTGGACGGTCGGGCAACTTCCACCTACGCTTCAAAGAGCTGCAGGAGGTGCTGTGTGAAACGAACCTGGAGTTGCAGGGCATCCACAGCGTCAAGTGGCTTTCACGTGGTCTGGCGGTTCAGCGACTGGCTGACAACCTTCCAGCTGCTGTCATTCTGTTGTACGAGAACGACCCGAAGGCGTACCTCGTTGTAACCAGTTTGAAATTCCATTTCATGCTGTTTTTTTTTGCTGATGTGTTGAAGGAACTCAACGCACTGAACCTCAAGTTCCAGCGACGGCAGGTACGCTGTTACGCCTCTTGCTGTTAACTGTTTTTAGTGTTAATGAATCGTATTAATGAGATATTTACCAGTGCGTGCCTTTCCACTGCCTCTCATGTGTGTGTGGCAGGTCGACGTGACACACGTGCTGCAGATGGTGGACAACACTAGGCTCACCCTTCGCAACCGTTACCTGAGTGACGCGGACGACTTCGGCGATGGGAGCAACGAGCTGAGCGCCTTCTTGTCGAAGCACGCCTCGTCGGAAAAAAGGGAAGTGAAGGTGACGGGCACCGACTCGACTGGCGCCCCAACTACTCATGAGTACACCCTCCATGAACAGAACATCAAGGGTCAGATATCTGGCCCGGGCCTGGACGACTGCATCACACTGGCGAAGGGGTACGTGAAGGAGCTGCTGAAGCGACTGGAGAGCCGGATGAAGGATCTGGGCTCTCTCGACGGCGCCACGCTGTTCACGCAGGGGGCGTACCCGAAATCTCACTCGAAGCGGCAGCGTCGGTTTTTGCAGTGGCTGGAGGCTCTCCGCAATCTGTTTAAGCGGAAACCGTCCGACCCTGACACCCTGCCTGGTACGTCTTCGATTTCGGTTGTCATTGATTGAATTTTCTATGTTTGTGTCACGTTATGCTTCGTTGGTTGTATGAGTTTGTGTACTTATTCTTATTAAACAGCTTGTATTCTCATTAAACTGGTTTCTGATTCACACCCCGCCACCAGGAATCAACTGGACGAGAGCACAGAAGGAGATCAGCAGTTTCACCACGATCATGTCGACCCATCACCGCGAGCTGAGCTTCCAGGACGGCCTGAAGCAGATGCTCAGCTCGCCCGATTGGTGCACGGCCTACCCCAACCTGGTCCGCCTTTGGATGGCGGTCGCAGTGCTGCCCCTGAGCACCGTGGAGTGCGAGCGGGGCTTCTCCCGCCAGAACGTCATCAAGAGCTGGCTACGCGGCAATCTCAACGACGCGAAGCTTGGCGACCTGATGACCATCTCCATGCTGAAGTACGAACCTAACTGGCCTGCCCTTGTAGAGCTGTGGAGAGGTGCGACGAAGAGACGCCCAGCCAAGGATGTCGTGATGGTGCATGCGCAAAGGCCTGTGAAGCGCACGAGGAAGACCCTTGCGATGTTGGCCGCGAAGCAGGCGGCAGCAACAGCAGCAGCAGCAGCAGCAGAGGCTGCTGCTCGTGAAGCAGCAGCTGCAGAAGAAGCAGCCAGGCTAGAGGAGGAGTTGGGCCCCTGGCAGAGACGGGCAGACCATGGCAAAGAGCACATTGCTTCAGATTCAGAGCTAGACGGGGACGACGAGGAATATTCTTCTCATGATAGCGATAGTGAATCCTAGTTCAATATGAATGTATGGTTAACTGTAGTAATAGAGTAGAGTAGAGTGTAGTCTGTGTGAAGACTATATAACTAAATAAATGTCTGATTTCGCGAAAATCTGTCTGAGCCGACATACTAACTTATAAAATCCGTCTGAGGCAAAGACCACCAGGAATCCTCCATATGAGGGCCAGACGATTTTTTTTTTTTCATGGAAAACGTCAGACGGGCCTAAAAGTTAGCAAGAGCCCTGCCCCCCCTCCTTGGGACTCTTGAGTGGCCTGCCCAGGGGCTGGGTTTGTACAGTGGTGCACCCACTACAAGCTTATGCCTGAAGGCAGAGTGGTGCAACGTAGACACTGTTGTTGAGCTCTTACAGTAACACTGTACAGTGATTGCTATGGGAAAGCTTATGGTATGGGTCAAGCTGCACAGCCATGCAGCTGTTATCATCTGTTGTCATGGTCATGCGGCCACGGGAGCAACAGCCAGTAGAGCTGTTACTGACTTGAACACGCCCTCCTCTTCCTCTCCATCCTCCTCCCCCTCCACTGCATCCTCCATGGCGTCACTAAAAGCTTCATCGTCTAAGTGGTCACTCAAGGAAAGGCTCTGATGTGGGCAGAGGGTGGGAATGAGTGGGTCAGAACAAAGACATATAAAAGGGTTGTGCCATGCTTAGATGATCCATGATACGAGCCTTGGATTCACATGAGTGAATTAACATTAGCTGTAGATAATGCCAGTAGATTATGTTGAAGCTGTAAAAATTGTTTAAAGCGGATGTTACAGTGCGCCCTCACCTTTCGCACTGTCGATGTTCTCCTGCTCAATCCGCCGCGCGTCCGCCACAGTCAGCTCGCACCACTCGTCTGCCCATGCGTAGCACTTCCTGTACGCCTCAAGGTAAAGTGCGCGGTGCGCCTGAGATCCAATAGGGGAGCGCAGGGAGAAGGGGGTGGGTGGAAGAGGGAAAGGGGAAGGGGGGAGTATTGGATGGGGAAAATGAGAGGACGGGGAGGAGACGGTTGCTGGGATAGAAATAGCGAACGGTGCATCGTTTCTGACGGTGGCGAAAAGTGTTGCGACTATCACATGAATCAACGCAGCGACAGCGACAAGACAGCACTCACTGAGATTGCGGCGAGCTCCATCTGCCTGCCGAACCCCCAGTAGGGCGCGTCCACGCGTATCACCTTGTACGACGTTATCACAGGCTCACACGTTTTCTGCGCGCGGGAAGGAGCGAATGGGAACGATGTTCGAATCTCGGATCGTAAAGGTCGTCAATTCCGTCCGAGAGAACATGATATGACGAGCAGCCACATTCAAGCTAATAGCGAGCCATCTGATTATCCTTCATTCTTACCTGCCATCCGGGGGCGAGCGGGCCGCGGTTGAGTTTAAGGAGGGCGATCTTGGAGGGGTCGGTGCGCTTCCGCGCGTGATTCGCGACCACATGTCCCTGTCGGCCGACGCGATGTCCACGTGGTCCACCTTGCGCAACGCCAAGTCAGCTTTTGACATATTCAGCGCCTGCAGGCGGTAAGAGGATGAGGAGACGAGCGAGGGTGGTTGAGAACCAAATCAGGGCGAGAGCAGCGCAAGTAGCTGTCGAACGGAAGTGTATAAGAACCACAACAAATCACCCACGTTTCGTCACATTGCTTGGCTGCATTTCGATTACCACCTAGGCATGTTAGCTTTCCCCTGACGAGACGCATTATTTGCACGGGACACTCACGTTGTCCGCGTCGCCTCGGTCGGCGAGGTGATACGTGTCGACGACTATCTTGAAGTTGGTGAAGTACGGGCACTGTAACGGGCGGTGGTGAGGAGACAGCAGAGGAGGAAAATGTAATAGCACACGAGACAGGAGGAGCAAACTGCAAATAGCACGTAGCTGAATCAACGACACGCGTGCACACTTCAAATGCTCCCCCTCCCCCTTCCCCCTTCCCTCCCCATCCTTCGCATGCTTACGCTAAGCTCCATGCGGCTGCGCGGGTACGCGTTCCAGTTCTTCTCCTCCAGCCGCAGCGCCTTGAGCGGCGCGAGCGCGCGGATCCACGCGGGCGCGCGGCCCTGAAAGTGGTGCACGACGTGCGAGTAATGCCCCTCGCCTAAGACGTCGTCTTTGAACGGCTCGCTGGCGATCACCTCGACGCCCTCGCGGCCCTTGGTGTTCTCCATCTGCATGCGCGACCGCATGTAGGTGTGCCCCACGTGATACTGGCTCGTGCGATAACGCACGGAGAGAATGTGAGGGAGAAGGGAGGGGAGGGACGGGGGGCGTGAGCGAAGGGAGGTTGCATGCTCGACTGCATGTAAGTGTGCCCCCTGCGTTCAGTCAGAAAGGACAGGTAGGGTTTCTAGTTGCCTCAAGTTCCGTTGCGGGGCATGAGTTGAAGGGGGGATGCGCATGGCCATGCGCGAGCGCGTGCTTGTGCGCGTGTGCGCACCTCGTCGAGAAAAAAAGGCATCGTGATGCGGCTGAAGATGGTGGACCACGCGCGACGGACGGTGAGAAGCGAGCGACGAGAGGAGAGCGGCGAGCGCAGAGGGCCGTCGAAATCGCCACAAAGTTATTGCGGCGAGGGAGGACCACGCAAAATAAGAAACACGCAGGAGGGATAAGTTAGAGAATGATTAGAAATACAAGCAGTGCAAGCGCGTTCGGAAAATCGTTTTGCATCTTACAATTCCTTAATCTGCACCATTCTGGCTAGTTGTTGTCGACGGGCGCACAGCGAAACGAGAGGGGGCTGCGCGAGGATTCCTCGTCAAGTCGACACTTCCTTCAACAGACACCTTTTGCTGCAGAAACGAGATATTCGTGAAAGCGTGCTCGAGGAGATGGCGGTGCGTTGCGTTCCTCTTTCTCGTCTTCTACCGTTGGTGAAGAGGGCTGGGATGGGTGTCAGCTGGTTCGGGCTGCGAAGGCGACGGAAGCGGCTTGGTGGGGTTGTGAAGATTGCTGCAGCTGTTGGTTGCGGGAATGGGAGCTACCGGGATTCTCGCTATTTGTATGGCAGATACTGTACGAGGAAAAGCAAGGGTGGGGTGGGGACTGGGGAGGGGGAGAGAGGAGAGAGATTCGAGCGGACGGCAAGGGTGGGGGAATTCAGGGCAGGCAGCTCTGTGTTGAGGAAAGGCGAGAGAGTGAGCAGTTGTTCTGATAGCGGATGGAGAGACATGCGCTTCGACTGTTGGGTTTGCAAAATCGCACGACTGAACTTCGCGAGTGCATCATCTGCTTGTGAGAGTGCCTTGTTACCAGTACAAGATGTTTGCGCAAAATGCGACTACGCTTGGGTTGTCGTCGTGCGACCTTTCAGCGACTGGTGCGATTGGGTTACGTCGCGCGAAAAATATGAATGTAGTCGCAATCAGTAGTTGACATTCATGAATGGTGATGCTGGGATTTGATGTTGCCGTTCAAATAGGACATCATCAACTCACCGGTAAGAGCAGCTCCGCTAACATATACAGCCGCAAAAGCATATGATGAATCAGAAGTAAGTGTGATCTCACGGTATCCTCAATAATCTGGGGAGAGAGTACGGAGCTGAAAGTATAATATTATCATCTTCTTGACAATCACCCACACCTCAATTCCTTCTATTTGGTGCAGGGGAAGGACAGCACACCTATACACACCTCTGTATCATGCTAAGTGCTTGGCCATACCTCTTCCACTGCTAGAGTTGTTGTGAAATTGAAACAGTGCTTAACATTAACAGAGCATGTCAACAAAATCATCCTCAAATGGCACATCCGCCCCCTTATTCTGTGCTGAATACTAAGACAGGGACTACCATACGAGGGGATGACAGCAGGTCCACAAGCGAGTACCGTACGTTCAAAACTCAACACATACTAGGTCTGTGGCACCAACTGTGTGGGTGCCAGACTAGTTGCTTCAGCCCAAAGCGATGGTGCATGCACTAGTGAGCTGTGCCATGCCATGCTGCCACCCGCCCTGGTTACCTACTCAGAGTTGCACCTACTACGAGCATATTCTTGCAGTCTCCTCTCCACCCAGCCACTGCTGGTAATCTCGGTGTGTACAGTGGTCATGGCAGTGCTCTTGCAGTAATGCCGAGTCCAAAACAATATTTGCACAGGGGTGTATCTTGTTGAGATAATGTCGAGACTTATGCACTTCAAGGAATTCGTATAGTTAGTACAGTAAAAGTACCGATAGACTGACGTCAGCAAAGCGCTACGCGCCTTAGGATGACGTCATCAGTAGCTGTAGGTATCGCGAATAGTCACGTACCTTTTCAGAACAGGAATAGTGCGAATAAATACAGCACAGTAGGCGAACAGGTACTTTAGTCTAGTTATATATTCTGTATGCTTGTCATTTTATTATATACTTGATTTCAGAGACTTTTTGATCCTGTTACAAGTCACTCATATAAAAAGACTTCCACTGCTACAGGAAGCTACTATCCTAAGACTACGATCCTATTCAAACAGTTCAAATTCTAACATGGTATGAGAGCAACTTAGGATTAAAACAGCTTCCATCTGCCTATTCTACAACTATGTCTGGATCTCCAAGGTCCAACAATGGCTCTTCTGTTACGAGCCCGTCACGCCCAACTGCGTCTCCAGCTGCTGATAATTCACATCTGCAGCAACAACAACAACAACAACAACAATATCAGCAACAACCGATGTACGGCATGCCATTGAGCAGTCAGCCCGTACACACAACTACAGCAGCGGCATCATCGACAGCAGCCGCCGCGACAGCAGCATCGGCAGCCTCAATAGCTGCAGTTGCAGTCCCTGGTTCTTCAAGTCAACCGGGACAACAGTCTAACTTCGTTCCGACTGGACCTTACCAATATCAAGGTGCTTACCAACCAGCAAATCTTCAACAACGTGTTAATGCTGCCGTCTTGTCGCTTAACCAGATGTTTCCAACTCCGATGAGCATTGATGGCTCCAGTTATCAGCGTGGTCAGATGCCACAAGGAAGTGATGGGTCGAACAACTCTTTCTCCTTTGGTCCCGCTGGACAAGGACAACAAACACAACAAGGGTCACAAGCGCCATCACTCTATCAGCTACAATCAGCTGACGGTACCGGAAGTTATATTCCTGCTTCTGCAAATCCTACAAAAATCAAAACGACAATGCCTTTTAACGGTCAAGATTTTTATACCTGGAGCTTTGAGTTTGAGCTTCTTGTTCAGACCGCGGGGTTCTGGCAGCTGTATGACGGCACAGCACCATTTCCATCACACGGGTCACCACTTCAACAAGCCACTTTTCGATCGGCGTCGCTGACTGCATACACAGTTCTCGTTCGTAATCTGACTCCGACTGAACAGCTCGGAATTCGTTCTTTTCGTAACAGTGTCGCTCCCGCTGAAGCAGCTTGGTTATACCTGCAAGGGGTTCACATGGCAAAAGATACTGTCAACCAGAGTAAAAATTTGACGAAGCTGTCAAATATACAGATGATAAACGGCGAGAAGGTGACGCAGTATATTAACCGCGCTCGAAATCTGCGCTATCAACTTCAGAAGTGTGGAGGGTACTTCCCCGACGCTATGTTCCACACGGTGCTACTTGCGGGTCTTGGACCAGAATGGCGACAGTGTCGCTCTATACTTCGGATGCAAGCACAGTTGTCCGAGGGGGCACTCTGTGCCGCTCTCATCGCCGAGCAGCAGGATATGGATCTGCACAACGCTCGAGGAGGAAAAAAGATGGTAAACAATACAGTCAGTTTTTATTCTAATCCACGTCACAAGCCCGTTTGTTCTTTTTGTCGAAAACCAGGACACACTATTGATACCTGCTGGTCGAAAGACAAACCATCTTGGAAGCGGTCTGCTTCGAAACATAATAAAGATTCTTCAAGTGAAGCAGAGAAGCCGGAAGCAGAGAAGCCGGACGCTGAGAAGCAGAATACTGCGAAGCTGAACTCTGCGAAGCCGACTACTGCACCTGCCAAGACACAAACAAAAGCAGTTATTAATTGCATGACATCAGTGTCAACGGTTTATGATCCTGATGCTGAAGAGCGGATTCACAACCGGTTCAACAACGAACTCAACACACCGATTCCACCTGAGGTCTATGCAAATCTTGCACATACCATTGCAGGTCCCAATACTTGGTACCTCGACAGTTGCTGCGGTCAGCACATGTGTTCGTCAGAGACGCGTTTCAATGTGAATCAACGCCGTCTGGAGAATCCCGTTGTCGTCACGGTCGCCAATAACCAACGGCTTACAGCTCACTGGATGGGAAGCATCGTTCTGGACTCAGTTGAAGAAGACTTCAGTCTTCACCTGAACGAAGTTCTTCTGGTCCCTCGGCTTGGCTTCAACCTCATGTCATCTGCACAGCTCATGAAGAACGGGATTACACTTCTCGGTGAACCTGGAAAATTCACTCTGAAATACGGTGAAAAGAAACTAGGCACGGCAGTTGAGCAAAACGGTGTTTTAGTTTTGAACTTCATACCTGAGCGTACTACTGCCGACTCTGATAACATTCTCTCGCTTGGTCCTTGGGAGCATCGTGACGATATTGATTACACCGACGATACAGTTCCACGTGAGGGAGTTGTCCCGACGTCTTCAACCACGGCTGCCGCCGTCATGTTGACCTTTGACGATCAAGGCTTGAATGATGTTGAGAACTCTCGGGAGTACATGGCTGCAGTTGAAGGTTGGAGTGATCCGACGAACATGCCGACTGATGACGGCATCTGGGGGGCTGACGAACCTGATGAAACAACTTGGGGCGAGACACCTGCTGAACGCGATGCTCGTCTTCTCGCTGAAGCTGAACAACGCGTCGCTGAAATGGAGATTCTTGACTCGGGTCGTCTCGTTGGAGTAGAACCTGTACCTGCAGCATCCGATCAAGAAAGCGGCGAGTTAGTACTTGCTCCAGGCGAGTACGTGGATGTTGAGGTTCGTGTTCCACCACCAAATCTTACTCGTTACGTCGCACCTGCTTTCGATCAGATCCGCTCCGATGGTCATCAGCTTCTGTTGTCGTTCTTCGCTAACGCCGAGTACTATCTGCGCGCACAAGGTCACAAAGCCACGGGAGAAACATGGCATAAACGACTTGGTCATCCGTCGCAGTTTACGCTAAACAACACGATCAAGGCTGCAATGCTTGACAAAAATTCGTTACTCTTACCGAGCGGTCTCGAACTGAAGCCGGTGAATCGCCCGGCACCCTGCACCGTC